TAGCTCTTAGGTCCTTGTCAATTTTTCTCTAAAATTTAGGAAATATGCTACTTATTTACCAAGATTCTTAATGTGATAATGGCTGCATGATTCTCAGGTTGAATTTTGGGTTTAGGTGTGGCCATTTTTTGTTTGTTTGTTTGTTTTTCTTTTTTGGGTCTGGTCCTGGGGCCTGAACTCTGGGGGATGCTGTCCCTCAGCTCTTCAGCTCAAGGCTAGCGCTCTACCACTTGAACCACAGCACCAATTCCAGCTTTTTTTTCTTTTTGCTTATGTGGTGCTGGGGAATCGAACCTAGGGCCTCATGCATGCAAGGCAAGCGCTCTACCACTGAGCCACCTTCCCAGCCCCAATGTGTAGCCATTTTTGTATTGCTTTATTTACTCAAATAGTACCTTTCTTTTTGCTGTAATATAATCAGTTGCCTTAAACATTCTGCATGACCTATTTAGAAATATTTCTCTGAATACGCTTAATTTTTTGTTCTGTCTACAATATTTTACTCAGAAAAATGGAAAAAAAATCACCTAAGTCATTTGATCCAACACTTTAGTTTACTAATTCTGATGTAAAGGAACAAATGACATTTGACAAATTCAAATGATATTTTAGTCCCTTGCTTCAATAGCAATCCTTGGTCTGATTCTAGCAGCACGTTATCTGTACTTTCTCTTCAGTCTGTCAGATTCCACAGAGTTATCTAGAAATAAGCCTATAAAGTCACTTAATGAGATCTATTTAAAAGTGAAACCCGCTGTCAATTATCTATGAGTTCTTAGAGTGATGTCTACATCTTCCACTTTAATGAAATGGGACATTATTTAATCTTGAGTTGAGTACATGTATATCAGTTATATTAATCTCTCTATTATATGATCAAAGTGTTTCATAAAAAAGTGTGAATGAAATGACACTCATCAACAGATGCGTTCTGTATATCATACCCTTGATATCCCTTCTATCACTCTAATTTCCTACATTCTCTAGAAAAAGTTTTTTTATCACTTTCTGATTAAAATATTTTCTTATTTGGGTGAGGAATATCAACTAATGTGAGAAGTCACCTCTGTCACCTGAAGTATTACTTCCCCTAATGTTCAATCATGTATTTTCAAAACTACACATGAAGGCATGCATATTATTCCCTTTATTAAGGAGTTAACATTTGTTCTTGATCATTGTTGGTAGATTTCACTAACATCTTAGGGAATTTACACAAATATTAAGTAAAAACCTGTTTAATCAGATTGATAATTCTTTAAGTGCATATATAGCTTGATGAAAAGACTGGGTAAATGAGGTCTAGATCCTGGATTAAATTTCCGTACTTTTTTACTTGTTTTCTCCTCATCCTTTTATGGTCTACATTTTGAATATACACATAAAAATTATTTCCACTTTATTCTCATTTACTCGGGAATGGGTACTGATGTTTCATACCTATACTCCTAGCTGCTTGACAACAGACTAAGGATGGGAGAATTGCAGATTGAGATCTGCTGGAACAGAAAAGTTCCTTCTTGCCAGGTGTTGGTGGCTCAATCCTAGCTACTCAGGAGGCTGAGATCTGAGGATCACAGTTCAAAGCCAGCACGGGCAGGAAAGTCCTTGAGACTCTTATCTTCAATAAACCACTAGAAAACCAGAAGTGGCACTGTGGCCTAAGTGGTAGAACACTAGCCTTGAGCTGAAGAGCTGAGGGAAAGCACCCAGGCTTAGAGTTCAAACCCCATGACTGACATCCCCCCCCCCCAAAAAAAAAGTTCCTTCTTAAAAATAGTGCTAGAGGCATAGCTCAGTGGTAGAACACCTACCTAGCAAGCAAGAGGTCCTCAGTTCAAACCACAGTGCTGCGCTCCCCCCCCCCCCCCCCCCCCGAAAAAGAAAACTTCATTTGTACAGAAGAGTAATTAGTGTTGTATTTCTTGAGTGATTAATTTCTCCATTTTCTCTCACCATTTCAACCAGGGAAAGAAGTAAAAATTCATTAGAATGTTACTATTTTAGTTGTTTAGTTTCACTTTTTGTGTGCCCTGTGAATCAGATTATCTCAAAATTAACTTACACAGTTAAATTCTGTTACACTGAAAAGTAGCTGTTTTGTTTTCAATTTTTCATTTTACTCTCGGGCCGGGGGCATGAGGTAGCAGCATTGGCAGAATTTGTTGAAACACTGTTTTATTTCTCTTATTTAGGAACAGCATCTGAAGATGGTAAGAAATATACATTTGTTAGTAATATAAATACTTCTACATTACTTTCTTCCTTCATAGGAATTAAATATTAAAACTAAAACAGGCTAATTTATTTGCAAATCTTCATAATTTGCCAGTTCTACATTTGATTGTCTTAGTTATGTATGGATTTTTTTTTAATTCTTCATTCTTCAGTTCTGCTTTTTATATTGGATCATCTCACTCCAGAAAAACATGTTTAACACATTTAATACTATCATAGAATTAATACTTGATTTCATCTATTCCATTAATGATGTTAAAATTGTTTTGGGTTTTGGGTTTTTAGTTAATGATGATTCGTTTTTATTTTGCAGGAGCATGTGTCATAGCTTTGGAGTTTAAAAGCTTTATAGTGTTCTTTGAAATGTATCTTTTATTTTAAAATCAGTAACTAGAAAATGGGTTCCCTTGTTCAAAGTGAATTTTATATTTATTCTGCCCCAGACTTAGGAGAGCCTCAACTTGAAACACATTATTTCTCTACTGACTTTTTCATAGATGACATTTTCTTATGTCCAGAACTAATTAGGCTTAACTTTTTATGGTCTCACATTTACTAAATTGTATTGATTCTAAACTTTACAATTAAGCTGAAGTATCTATAAAAACATGATTTCTGACACTGTGGCACCTAATGGCAGCTTATAGTAATTTGATCTCTTCTTTTTAGTTACTACTTTTTGAGGGCATTATATCCTACTTAAAACAGACTTTGTAAAAGACCTAAAACTGTAGGCTCCTTATGGTCCTTGAAGTTGGTGGAATGCTAGGACCCTTCCAATTTTGCTGCTTATTTATATTTTATTCTTAATTCTGAATATCACTTTCTTCCCTCACCAGTTGATTAATTTTAAATTTATCCATACTCCACTATATTTTTCCCTAGTTCATATAGTCATATCTGTCTAGCCAGGATTTTTTACATTCCATTCACTTCGTACAATTTCATTAAGAGGGATTCTGAGCCCTTCCTTTCTGGTACATTTGGTATTGGTTCTGATTCTTTGATGCTACTACATGAGAACATCAAAGTACCTGGTAATAATATGCTTTCTTTTTTCTCATTTTTTTTGGTCATGAAGCTTGAACCCAGGGCCTGGGTGCTTTCCCTGAGCTCAAGACTTGAACCACAGCTCTACATACAGATTTTTAGTGGTTAATTGTGAGATAAGTCTCACAGACTTTACTGCCTGGGCTGGCTTCAAACTGTGCTCCTTCAATCTTACTTCCTGAGTAGCTGGGATTATGGTAGTATGTCACTAGTGCCCAGCTAATATGTATTTTTTTACCACTTGTTTTTACTATAGTAACTTCCTGAAGTCCTGAAATAAACTTATTCCATTTGGTTTAAGAATTTCAGATGGAAAGGGAGGGAGGATATTTGTGGCCTGATTTTATAGAAAGCGATGAGGAAGTGGTAGGGGAAAAAGTAATACAGCCAAAAAGAAGAAAATAAATATACTGAGAAAAAGGCTGGCTCATATGATAAGTATTTCTTTTATTCGTTTTCTAAATGGAATTGGCTCAGAAAGGAAAGGATTAAAGGCTATCCATAATCCATATATATATATATATATATATATATATATATATATATATATATCTGTTATCTGATGTAAAAAGATTAATAAGCATTTTGCTGGGTGCTGGTGGCTTGTGTAGTCTACTCAGGAGACTGAGACCTGAGGATCTTGATTGAAAGTCAGCCTGCATAAGAAAGTCCCTGAGACACTCACCTCCAATTAACCACCAAAAAAACAGAAATGGAGCTGTGGCTTAAGTGGTAGAGCACTATCTTTGAACTAAATAGCCCAGGGACAGCACACAAGTCCTGAGTTCAAGCCTACGACTAGCACAAAATAAAGTGTGTGTGACACACACACACACATATATATATGTATATGTATATTTATATATGTTTTATATATATGTATACATATGCATATATATATATATATATAACATTTTTCCAGTATTTCCTGCCATTTCCTTTAAAGGTACATTTTCAATAAAAATGATTGAGTTGTTGTTTCTAAGATTAGCTTTATATTTAAAACTATAAAATGGACTTGAGAATAATCTAAATTTCCTAGAAATTGTAATTACTAACTTGTAAATTAAGAATGGAAACCTAGCTTTGCTTTATTCTTCCCCTTGACAGGAAGTTAGTTTGTAGTACAGCATGTTAAAACAAAAAACAATACAACAAATGGATGCTGATGACTTATACCTAAAAGGCAGAGGACAGAAGTGTAGTAGTTCAGGACCAGGCTGGGCAGAAAAGTTTGCAAGGCCCTTAACCAATGACTGAGTATGCTGGTATGTTCCTTAATCAATAGCTGAGTATCCCAGCTACCACAGAACCCCTTAAATGGGTGAATAATATCTCAAAAGTAACTAGCACAATAAAAGAGATGGGGACATTGTTCAGCAGTGCCTACTTAGCAAGCACAAAGCCCTAAGTTCAAACCCTAACACTAACAAAGATGCTGGGGGAGGAGGAGAAGCAATATAACACATGAAAAACCACGGGTCTGGGCTTGCTGGCATATCTTAGAAACTGAGATCGGAAGTTTAAAATCAGTCTGAATGAAACTGTCTAAAAAAAAAAAAGAAAATCTATGTAGTTCTAACCTGTTAAGAGAAATATAAAGGTTACACTATTAGAAAAGGTAATAGTATTTGAAGACAGTGAGTTTTCCTCTTAATGCTAAATATTATTATTAAAAATTGTTCTTAATTACATCATACTTTATTCCTCAGGCCGGGTGAGAGCAAAGCTTTCAGCACCACTTGCTGGTATGGGAAATGCCAAGACAGATTCTAGAGGAAGAAGCCGAACAAAAATGGTGTCTCAGTCTCAGCGTATGTACTATTTATTATTGGTCTGTTAGGATAAGAGTGTTACTTGTGTATTACCATATTGGGAAATTGGCCAGTGGATAAATCAAAGCTAATTTGACAAAAGGCAAGCCACATACTGAGTTCTTGTTCTGTACTTTAGGTTCTTCATCACCTGAAAAAAATGAAGGTATTTTTTTTTTCAATGTTTTGAGTCAGTTGTTGTGCATGTTTCGGAATTTTTTGAGTGGGTGTTGTCTTGTCTTTATGTTATTAGGGCCACATCATTGGTATCTATCACTTAGAAAGAAAAACCTCATCTACTATCCAACTTTTGCATGGACATACTTTTAAATAACACAATTTTTAGCATTAAGATTTTCACATTATACTCAGAAACTTGCAAATGTGGAAAATTTTGTCTTTTACAGGCAAAATAATTGCCATCAGAATCTGGTTGCACCTTACTAATGCAACTGAAAAACCGTAAACTGGTATCTTCTTATTCTCCCCAAAATATATTAGAACATTTTATGTTTAGTTAATATTTTTACAGACACACTTGTAATGAGCAAAAATCAACTTTATTTTTTTAATGACCAATTCTTCTGTGTTCCATTTAAATTTAAGATTTATATTTTTGCTGTATTATTGAAAGCTGAGTTCCTAATAAGAACCCTAATTAAACATTAGCACAACTTTAGGTGTAGATAAAATGAACTGTATTTCTATATGTACCAGACTGATAACACATACATTTTTGGCATTATTAACTTTAAACTATTTGTTCCCATTTAATTTTTTACTAAGAGATTTTTATTAGCATTACTCTATAATCAGGAATTTTTCTAGGGAAATAGTTGTGGAAATTATCCTATATATAATTGATTATTTGGGGAAAAAATAGATTTAACTGACTTTGTGGGTATCCTGTCTGCTTTTTTTAAAGTCTTAATTTCTTGGATCTCGGCATCAAAGGGCAAGAGTGAGCCTTAAAGAGAACAGAATGCTAATTACCCACCCTCATCTTGCCTCAAAGTTTCTCCTTTTCTCAGAGTACTAATAGGAACACTCAATAGTATCCCTAAAAATAAGCAGAAATACCCACTAAAGTTGATTTTCCACTTGGAGATTACTTACAATTAGGAAGAATGATAAGTATCTGGTAGGCAAGGGCTTTTCTTTCAGGCAATCAAGAGTACATACTATTACATTCTTTCCCAAGTCTATGTGTTTTGGAATGATTTTTAGAGTACATTAGTCTGTGTATTAGCATTAGCCTAGTAGTTGGGAGCCTCACTCTTCCATATGTATTACAAAACCAGCGTCTGCATCCCCTGGATTCCAGTTAGAAATGCAGAATCCCATCTACCATTACAAATCAGTAACACTGATCTTTAACAGGACCATCAAGTGATTTGTGTTGTAGAAACTTTAAGAAATATTGATTTAAACCATAGACTCTCAAGCCATACTGCCCAGAATGGAATCCTTGCCCTTGTAAAGTAACTGTATTTGTGCATACTTTCCTATAGAATGTAAAGGAAAATAGCATCTACGTCATAGGACTGAATATTGTTGTATCTTTAATACACTTGAAGCATACTTGGCCCAGAGTAAGCACTCTATACAGAGCTAGCTAAAATTGTCCTAGTTATGAATATTAATCATATGTCAACTCAGTTTTACACTGCTTTTGTATATTTCTGTACCTTCTTCATGAGAGAAAGAAAAATAGATAATGATGAAGTTAGGGTATTTAAAGCATGGGAAACTAAAGAAAACCAGAAACTGTCCATGTTTAGGGTCTAAAGATAAAACATAATTGTGAGGTATTAGTGGTCTTCTAAAGTAATAACTAAGGTTGAGCTTAGAACATTCTAAGAAGAATGTTTCCAAAACTGGGAATTTTTTTTCCTGTTTTTAAATATTACTTAAGAATCTGCCTTTTCATACATATTGTAACTTAGATCACTTCATTAGAAAATAGAGCAGTAACTTTGCATTTGATTTTTACTTTGAAACTTGATCCACAATACTCCAAATCCTCAAAAGTATGAGAACACAATGATATGGCTTTTTAGATCTAGTAGGACCTTGAAGATCAGAAGTCTTTCCCCTATAAATTACTTAGGTTAAAAAAATAAATAAAAAATAAATTACTTAGGTTAAAATCATCACATTAGAAAGCTTTTGTTTGTTTGCTTGCTTGCTTGAGTAATAACATTCTGCATTTCAAAATCTTTTGTGAAAAAGATAAATACTTTGTATGCAAGTTTCTTTTATAACATATTTGTACAGAAATATCACCGTGGTTTCCATCTTCACTTTGTTGTAAAGTAATTCATAAGGGATTGCATGGTCTTTCCGTGTTGTTTTTATCATCATTTAGAATAATAATAACTCTTGGATCAAAGCAGGTGTGTTCTAATGGCTAACCAAAATAAATGAAAACAGACCTATGGAGAAACTTGTAGATTTATACTCATGAAAGAATTGTCCCTTTTTTGTTGTTTCCCACTGGTTGTGTACAGATGATTGTAAAGCCTGTGGTGAACTTTGTCTCCCCTTCTCTCACCTCATCTTTCATCTGTTAATCTTAAGAGAGATGAAATTTGTAGCTTTTTCATTTATTTTTCTTCAGCTATGTTACCATTGTTCCTACATCTAGTTGTCAACTAATTTTTTTAAATAAAAAACATGTAATATTTGGACTAGCACTAATAGAAAAGCTGAAGAATTATATTTATTTTTGCAATTTCATTTCATCTGCTTTGTACATGAGTGATTTCTGTTTTTCAGCTGTGAAAACTACTAAGTATACTACTTTTGTTACAGACGTCTATGCTGTAGGAGTTTTTTAAATTTGCTTTTATTTTGGTGTTAGGTATTTGTTTTGTTTTGCTAAGAACTGACTAAGGATTTTTTATTTTCACCTGCCATTCCATTTAAAAACTGCTCTTTCCCTCTTCATGGATTATAACCCTTACCCTAACTCTGCCTTTACACTTGTTCAGGATCACAATCTGCTAATACCATTGGTGGTAAGAATCTATAGACTTTATGTGTGCATCTCTGTCTGATCACCTATATCCATTACCAAAACTGGGTTCTATTCAGCAGAAATTCTTAAATAATGTTCTGTAATCCCATTATTCTGTAATCATATTGAAGCAAAACCTTTCAGGGTTTTTGTTTGTTTGTTTGTTTTGGTATGTGTTTATTATATTGCCAAAAGCATGAATTGTTTTAATTGTCTGAATCAACCCTATAGATAAGACGAACATTCAAAAAAAAAAAAAAACCCAATACCTTTGGTAATGTTTGAAAGTGCCTCAAACTGTATAAAATGGTAGCTCACAGAGAAAAGTAGATATACAATTTCAAGCTTAGCAGTTAGGATGTTTTCTGTAAACATAGTACTTCCTGGGTATACCAGGCCCCTTTCATCAACTCTGTGGTTTCCTAAAGGAAATAATTAGCCTTGGTGGTTCTTTACTGGAAAAAGAGTCTTGGTATTTTCTTCCAAGTATAAAGAATTCCAAATAGACTATAGGCACCAGAATTATCACAGTCTTGGTAGGAATCAGAAGGTATTAGAGAAGGAGAGGGTAGTGATTAAAACCAATTTTATTTCATAGAAATGGGCATGAACTTAAATATCTAGAAAGAAAGCTTGTGTGGTTTTTAATAACTTCAATAAATCTAGCATAGAAAATGCAATTGATAGCTGGGTGCTGGTGGCTCACACCTGTAATCCTAGCTACTCAGAATGCTGAGATCTGAGGATCACAGTTCAAAGCCAGCCCAGGTAGGAAAGTCCATGAGACTCTTATCTCCAATAAACCACTAGAAAACGGGAAGTGGCACTGTGGCTCAAGCGGTAGAGCGCTCACCTTGAGCTGAAGAGTGCAGAGACAGTACCCAAGCCTCCAGAGTTCAAGCCCCACGACCAGGGGGAAAAATAAAAGTACAATTGATGTGTTTCTAAACTTTGTGTTTCCTGTCTGCTGAATAGAACCACTTTCCAAAGAATTCTCCAGTCTCTCCTATCAGCACCTCCACTTCCACAAATTTATATTGATTTTTAAAAAATTACCAAATATTGTATTGCTCAGTTTGTTCCTTATTTTTTTATATTGTTGCAACTTTTCCCATGAAATATTCCATTGGCCTATCTTGCATTGTGAGTTTGTGGCATGTTGGGTGTTTGGATGTTGTGGTGTGTATGTTTAGTAGATACTGCATGGAGAAAGAAGGTGCCTCAACTGTCCCTAAGGTTGTAACAAAAAGAAACCAGACTTGAAGATTCTTGACCTGCAACATCATGGAACATTCAAATGATCAGTCATTTTTAAGTAGACTTGTGTAATTGCTCTACAATGATTCAGAATTCCTTCTGCTCATTTGGTAAATTGTTAATTTCACTGGGAAAACTACTTTGTTTTGCAGTATTGCTTTCACCAATGAAAGATAAGCTTTATTTTGTATGCTGATAAAATTTAAGAGTTAGGCAAGATCATAAACTATACTAAGCAAGATCATGCCAAGAACAACTATCAAAGGTTGTGACCTTTAATAGATCAGTAACCCCATAGAACGCCTCCACTACTCAAGTCATGTATCATTTGGCCAGCACAATATAATAAAAAATCGGGAAGTTTGAGTGGACAAGTATTACATGGTTGGTAAAACATCTCCCTAACAAGTGCAAGACACTGTGTTCAGAACATACTATACTAAAGAAGAAAAAAGAATCAGGTAAATAAAACTTCTAGTTTTAAAAATCCCAAGATCTAGTCAGTATTATAACTGGCTAGAACTGAAAAGTCACTTTTCGCTAAGGAAAGAGCAGATCTGTTGACCAAAGTCTGCTTACCCATTCCTTGCCCTGTTATCACTGTTCCTTTTTTACATGCCATGATTGTTCCCATTAGCACTGAATTCATTAATCTGCTTGTTAGAAATGAGGCATTATTGGGCAAAATTACACATGGAGAACAGTGACTCTCTTGTTATTATAAGTGGTGTCTAAAGAAAGGAAAAGGTTGCTTTGTGAAGATTTATTTAAATGTAAGTTAGTTTTTGTATGTTATCATTCAGGATCTAGATTCCAGAATCTAATTCTAACTCTAGATTCTGATTGATTCTATCTGGCGATTACCTAGTCCATTTTCTATTCAACACTGTTCAACATAGATATAAAGTGTTTTGATTGACAACAGGATTCATTCCTTTAAAAACTGATTGACAACAGGATTCATCCCTTTAAAAATTAACTTGGGGGCTATGAAAGTGGCTCAGTGGTAGAGTGTTTGCCTTGCATTCATGAGGCCCTGGGTTCGATTCCTCAGACCACATAAACAGAAAAGACTGGAAGTGGTAGAAAAGGCTCAAGTGGTAGAGTGCTGGCGTTGAGCAGAAGAGCTCAAGGACAACATCCAGGCCTAGAGTTCAAGCCCCATGACCAACCAAAAACAAAAAAATTAATTTGGGAGATAGTTATTGGGAAGATTGAAGTTTTAGGCCAGGCCAGGCAAAAAGTTGGCAAACCAATAGTTGGGTCTATAGTGTGTGCCAGTTACAACAGGAAGTACAAGTAGAGAGAGCATGGTCTATGCATGCTGGCTTAGAAAAAAAAACTGAGACTGATTCAAAAATAATCATACCAAGGGCTGGAATTGTGGCTTCAGCAGTAGAGCACCTGCTTAGCAAACATGGAGCCCTGAGGTCAACTCCCTGGTAACACACATATAAGTACAAGTATATACATGCATATATTCATGCATGAACTGGACATGGTGGATCACATTTGTAATCCCAGCATACAAATTCATGTTTCTTTTTTTTTTTTAACCTATGTCCAAGTCTCTGAAAAGATTTTTTTGTAGCTCTTTCTTTAGCTCATTAACCACATCTCCTATTGACTTCCTGAACATTTGCCTTAATCCTGTTCTACTCTCAGTACTTGTGTATCCTAAAATAAGGCCACCCAAAAAACCTTTGCTATTCTTTTTCAGCTGAACTAACTTTGTCAATATTCAAGTTTTTTGTAAAAGTTGAAAATGAATATATGACATTACCCATTTAGAGTCATCTTAGCAGGCAACTATCATTATTATTACTTCACAAAAATAATAGCAGTAAGAGATGGAGATTTTTTTTTTCTTTAAATATTTAACACAGCTAGGCACCAGTGGCAAATGCCTGTGATCCTATCTATTTGGGAGGCTGAGATCTAGAGGATCACAGTTCAAGGCTATTCCAGGCACAAAGTCTTCAAAAAAGCCAGTTGAAAGCCAGGCAGGAACTGATTCAAGTGGTAATGGATAGCTGAACAAGCAAGTACAAGGCCCTTATTTCAAAACCCAGTATTGGCAATAATTATTATTATTTTATTATAGATTACAGAGCATCGTAGTCATATGAACTGTTTCATCAAATATATGATTAATTTGATTATTATTTACTTTCTAAAAATCATGATAGTAGCTGGCACTGGTGTCTCACACCTATAATCCCTGCTACTTAGGAGGCTGAGCTCTGAGGATCATGGTTTGAAGCCAGCCTAGGCAGAAAATTCCCATAAGACTCTTACCTCCAATTAACCATTCAAAAACCAAAAGTGGCATTGTGGCTCAAGTGGTAGAGTGGTAGCCTTGAACACAAAGAGGCTCAGGAACAGCAACCAGGCCTTGAGTTCAAACCCCAAAATGCACCACCAAAACTAAAAATACAGCTTATATAGTACACTTTTTTTCCAGGTCATGATTATGTATAAATCTTCCTTGGCTCATTTTCTTTGAACTTAGAACCTGCCATACTATCACATGTATTTCTTGAAGTTTTTTTTTTTTTTTTTAGTTTTATTCAATTCTTTTGGCAGTCACATTTTAAAATATTTGTGTGTTTGATGTTTAGCTGGCAGCCGATCTGGATCTCCAGGACGAGTTCTGACCACAACAACCCTTTCTACTGTGAGCTCTGGTGCTCAAAGAGTCCTGGTCAATTCAGCATCTGCACAGAAAAGAAGCAAAATACCACGGAGCCAGGGCTGCAGCAGAGAAGCTAGTCCATCTAGGCTTTCAGTGGGTAAGATTTTTTATGTGAGAATGGCCATGCTTTATTTCTTGCATATTTGGCAACATTAAAGACTAGAATACAGATAGGCACTTTAGAAGTTTGAGGAAAACGGGCTGGGAAGGTGGCTCAGTGGTAGAGCGCTTGCCTTGCATGCATGAGGCCCTGGGTTTGATTCCTCAGTACCACATAAGCAGAAAGAAAAAAAAAAGCCAGAAGTGGCACTGTGCCTCGATTGGTAGAGTGCTAACCTTGAGCTGAATAGCTGAGGGACAGTACCCAGGCCCAGAGTTCAGGCCCCACAACCCACCAGGAAAAAAAAAAAAATTGAGGAAAACAACTTCAAGGAGACTTAACATATAGTATATTCATGTTAAGAATTGAATGTTAGGGCTGGGAAGGTGGCTCAGTGGTAAAGCGCTTACCTTGCATGCTTGAGGCCCTGGGTTCGATTCCTCAGCACCCATAAGCAAAAAAAAAAAAAAAAAAAAGGAATGTTAAAAACTATAACCTCAGTCACTGAAGTTGCTGAGGACTCCACTTTCTCCTTGACCCCCTTCTGTTTCCAATACTCCATTTCCCTACCCTACCTTTTCCAACAGCTGCCTTCTGTAGGCTGAATTTTATTTTATATTTGTTATCTATAACCACCTTGACCTCCTTTGTTGAAGATTACATCCATATAACAATTCAGAGAAATGTGAGGAAGTTCTTTACTACTTTCCAAGAGATCACAAATGATTACAATAAAAAGAAACGAGTGAGCTAGGCACCAGTGGTTCACATCTATAATCCTAGCTACAGAGGCAGCTGAGATATGAGGATCGCAGTTCAAAGCCAGCTCAGTCAGAAAAGTCCCCATGAGACACTTCTCTCCAATTAACCACTCAAAACCCAGAAGTGGAGCTGTGGCTCAAAATGGTGGAACACTAGCCTTGCAAATAGCTCAGGGACAGCACCCAGGCCCTGTGTTCAAGCCCCACAACCAACCAAAAAAAAAAAAAAATAGTGAAGGCATTCAAGTAGAACTTTTCTTACAATGGCACTAGAATCAAGGATCCAGAATATGGAGAATATGCAGTTACTTGAAAAGTGGTGTGTTGTTAGTCTTGAAGAGTTTCCTTTAAGCACAGGTTAAGAAATAGGTACTTGGCAATGTCTAGTCTGAAACAAAGCAATATCATGATGTATTAGCCAATTCCCAGGCCCCACAGTCATAGATGGCTGTGTCTAGCCAGAAGCTGCTCAGCCTTCCCTCTGCAGAATCCACTGCCTTAAGAGAATGTCACCACTGGGACAACCCTGGCTAATGGGATAAGGCAGCAACAGCAGCTGAGCCACTTTAGGAGCCTTTGATTTAAAAAAAAAAAAAAAAAAAAAAATCATGGTGTCAACCTTACCCAGCCAGCAACTCAAGAGAGAAGGGTTCCTTCCCTCCTTAGTGAAGTAATGGGACATCTGACTTGCCACCAGTCTTTTTGATTAGACATAGCCTAGGTAAGGGGGGTCCATCAACAGGATGGGAGACCAGCCTAGAATCAGTTAAATTTGGTTATTACTTTGCTTTTTTCTTACAGTTTAAGTGTAAAATAATGTATTTAACATTTATTTAAAGTAAAACTTATTTTTAGGAGAAAAAGGCAGTATAATTTATAAGGGCTTTAAAATGTACCTTATATATAAAAGCACAAGACTTGTGGAAGATATATGTACATAGATATAAATATATTTAATTGCTGTGTTTGACATTCGTGTTGTAAGTGAACACTATTTGGGGTGGGGATGGGGGGCAGTCATGGGGCATGAACTCAGGGCATGGGTGCTATCCCTGAGCTTTTTTGCTCAAGGCTAGTGTTCTATCACTTTGAGTCACAGCTCCACTTCTGGTTTTCTGGTGGTTAATTGGAGATAAGAGTCCCACAGACTTACTACCCAAGCCTGGCTTTAAATCATGATCCTCATATTTCAGCCTTCTGAGTAGCTAGGATTCAGTTGTGAGCCACCAGTGCCCCACATGGTCAACACTATTTAATTACATCTAATAAACTTCCATTTTCTGTGTATCAACCAAAATATTTTAAATTTCATGTAACAAATTAGAATTGAAGCCAACGGAAACAGTAAAAGGGAATTTATTACCTCTTTTAGCAGAAAAACTCAAGAGGTCATTTACTTTGGGTTAATTGATTAACATTGCCTTTATTGACCCAGAATCAGTCTTTATATCCATTTATATACCTGTTTTCCCTCTCTTCTTTGTCTTTAGAATAGCTGCTTCTTGATCTGTCATTCCTACAGCAGAAATCCCTAATTATTCCAAGTATTTTTAGTCATTTTATAAAGCATTTTGTTGATTACATATGTAAGAAAATGCAACATCATTGCTCAGTTCAACAGCACATATCCTAACATTGGAACAATACAGAGACTAGCATGGCCATTGCTCAAGGATGGCATGCCAATTTATGAAGTGGTGCACTCTCCCCTTTCCCTCTCCCCTCCCCCTCTATTCCCCTCTCCCACCCTTCTTCTTTCCCTCCCTCCCTCTCTACCTCTCCCTCTCTCCCTCAGGCCCCCCCCCCCCCCCGCCCCGCCGTCACTCTCCATCTCTGTCTCTGTGTTCTTCTCTCTCTGTAAGGTACTGGGGCTTGAACTTGAGTCCTCACTTGGGTTTCATGGTTTCATTCTACCACTTGAGCCAAGCCTCCACTTGTGAGATTTTGCTGCTTCATTGGAGATGAGAGTCTTGCATATTTATCTGCCTCATTTGGTCCTGAACCAAGATTCTCAGACCTCAGCCTTTTCTGAGTGGTGAGGATCATAGGCTGAGTTACCCAGCACCTGGATACAGTCTCCTTATAAGAATTTACAAACAAGTCTTACATACTTCCTTCATAAGTTGACGTTCAAAGTTGGAAAGCACCTGGACTGGTAGTGCACTCTTGTTATTCCAGCACTTATGAAATGGAGGCAGGAGAATCACACAAGTTAGAAGCCAGCCTGAGCTACATAGCATGTTTCAGGCCAACCTGAAACAAGATCCTGTCTGGAAAAAAAAGAAAGAAAAAAATAGCTCTAATGTTCACTCTGTTCCAAATAAATAAATGTTTACTGCCAGGATCGACAGTATAAATACTTTTCTCATATCCTCTTATATTATTGTCCTTTGAGTAATACTAATGATTATATGGAGACTCTCCAATATTTTATGGATTAGTTGTCTTAGCCTCTTGCTCAGCTGTCATTTTGATCCCATTTACTGCTTCCTTGGACTGCATGTGCTTTTTCTAGAAACCTCTGTTTTCATTTTGTAGAGTTCAAGCCTTCTGTAGCCTTACTAGTCTTAAGGAGCAATGTAGGCCCACAGACATTAACATTGTACCCATTGCAGCACATGTCACTTGTTCAGGGCCTAGTGTTTGGTACAAGAGTCTCTGGAATTTTATCTAGGCTAATTTGCTGCTTTTTTGTTTGTTTTCCAGGCATTGTTTCAATTTCTTTACTGTTTAATCATTCTTTGCTCTTTTAGTCATTCTAGGCTTTTTTAAAATTTTTTTGTTTACTTTTTTTTATTTGTGAAGAGTTGAGGAAAGTCATGGGAAGTGAAACCATGGCTCTTATTTTGAATGGAAATCAGGCATTGTAATTTAGATTAATATTTGATATGTATAGATTTCTATTAAAAAATAACATTTTGACTGAAGACATCAAGAGTGATAGAAGTCTATAGTTTATCCAACAAAGAAAAACCCAAGTTGTACTGTGTACATTGTACAATATCGTAAATCTTAACTGTTTTTTCTTTTAATAAAATAGTATTTTCCCCTGTAATCTCTTCCAAACTAGGGAATCATATTCAAAAACCTCACCTGTTTCTCATAATGCTTCATCAAGAGTAATTTTTTTTTTCATCATGCATGTCTGAAACCCAAAAGGGGAAGAAAGATCACAAGTTCAAAGCCAACCCTGGCAAAAGCTAGTGAGATGCTATCTGAAAAACTAACTGAAAATAAAGGTCGAGAGGCATGGCTCAAGTAGTACAGTATTTGCCTAACAAATACAATACTCTTGAGTACAATCTCCAGTATTACCAGAGGGGAAGGGAAGAGCAAGTTCTTCTCAATCTTAAAAAAGCTTACATATCAGTTCTTTACAAAGAAAAAAATGAAAATTTAAAAAAAAAAACTGTAAAACTTTTCTGTTTCCTCCCTTGTTTTGTACCAGCCCGAAGCAGCCGTATTCCTCGTCCAAGTGTGAGTCAGGGATGCAGCCGAGAAGCTAGTCGAGAGAGTAGCAGAGATACAAGTCCTGTCCGCTCTTTTCAGCCCCTTGGTGAGTATTTGGGCAGGTGTAAGGTACACTGCTTCCCCCTTGTGATATTGCCATTTGAAAACATCTCTATTCCTGGAATTTCGCATTCATCATTAACTGTCTCTCCCCCTTACTCTCTTTTATGTCATTTTGATTTTTAAAAAATTAGAAGGAAATTGTATATTTGGGAATTATATTTGACCTTATTAATGTGACCTAAATGAAAAAAATGAGTCATTTCAAACAATTTGATTTCATAATTAAATAAATGTCACACAAATATAAACTTTAGAAAAGTGAATTCAGTAGTCCCAACACTCAGGAGGCTGGGACAAGAGGATTGTGTGTTTGAGGCCAGCTTGAGCTACATAGCAACACCATGTTTCAAAAAAAAAACTAAACAAAAAAAGAATATTAAATTGACACTTTTTCTTAACAAAGTATGAAATTTAAAGCTAATAGTAAGAATTCACACTGAAGTGAAATATGAAAAGTAAATTTTGTCCTTTTAACAGAAATACTGGCTTTTCAACTTACATCATTAAAGGTAGGTTTTTAGAAAGAGTGCTCCAAATAAATAAATGGAAGAGATTATATTTGTATAATATTTATAATTTGACAGTTTTTATACAGTAATTCATATCATGTCACCATTATAAACTTATCTGTTCCTGATTATAGAGATTATATAGTAACTTTATGATTACTACATTTCCTTCAATTATAAAAATATTAGATAATATTTACCTTTTTTGTTTTTAGGATAACTGGATAGGCATAAGTTTTTACATTGAGAACCTTTAGAATTTCTCCATGTCCTTTTAACATTTTAACTAGTAATACTTTGTTGATGCACACAATTCTGTAGCCATTCCAGATTTGTTTTCCCCTTTCATTAACATAGCTTACTATGTAAGCTTACTCCAGCAGTTGCTTTTCAAGTGTTTCAGATTATTAAGTTTTTTGCTAGTTGTCTATTGGAATTATTACTTCTTAGATAAATCTGTAATGTAGAACTTTTAATGATTAACTTCTGATTTCTTGGGACATTTGACCTAGATAGATCTCTGGGCTTCCTGTACTGGAAAACCGTGTTTAGATAGGGATATACAGAGAGATCTTCATCCCCTGTTTATGTTTTTCTCTTCCTTCTATGGGAAGAACTCTTGTTCATCACTTAGGCCAGCTGTGGCATATTCTTTGCCAGAGACATTTTTAGTATGTATATCAGTTATTCTGTAAAATGTTGATGTGTGTGTGTGTCTGTATGTGTGTGTGAGAGAGAGAGAGAGAGAGAGAGAGAGAGAGAAAAGAGAGATAGCACGTGCATAGTGCATCTTCATAAAGGAAATAAAATCAGTTGTACATTGCTAAAAATAAACTTGCTTAGTTGGAGACTCAGATAGCCTGGCTTCATATCCTAACTCTGCAATCTTATGTGTAAACTAGAGATAATAGTAACATGTATGAATTAGGGATGTTTGGAAAGCTCTATAAATGAAAAACACATAAAAAAATCCTTTAGGAAGTGTTGGGCACACAGTGCCATAGAGTCATTATCACCACCACTGTTGCTGCCATTGATGATGGTACTTCTCTGCTCTCTCCCATCAGGCTCTGGTCACTTAGAAACATTTTCATTACTCTTTACTGGCAAGGATCTGTTTTTTTGGTTGTTTTTCTTTTTTTGTCATGGGGCTGGAACTCTGAGCCTGAGCACTGTCCCTCAGCGTTTCAGCTCAAGGCTAGCACTCTACCACTTGAGCCACAGTGACACGTCCGGCCTTTTCTGTTTATATGGAACTGAGGAATCAAACCCCAGGCCTCATATATATCAGGCAAGCACTCTACCACTGAGCCACCTTCCCAGCCCAGGATCTCATTTTATTTATTTATTTATTTATTGGGGGGCTCCAGTCGTGGGGCCTGAACTCTGGGCCTGAGCGCTGTCCCTCAGCTCTTCAGCTCAAGGTTAGCGCTCTACCACTTGAGCTACAGCACCACTTCCGGCTTTTTTCTTTTTGCTTATGTGGTGCTGAGGAATCGAACCCAGGGCTTCGGGCATGCAAGGCAAGCGCTCTACCACTGAGCCACCTTCCCAGCCCCTGATTTTTTTGAATAACACTTTCACTAGTACTAGAGAAGATTACTAGGAAACATATTAAAAACAAAGAAGAAATGTATAAGGAGCGGAAGTTACTTAAAAAGTAAGCATTATTAATAGGCCAATTTTTTTTTATTATCAACTGGTTATACAGAGAGGTCACAATTCCATATGTCAGGTTATGAGTACTATACATCTTGATCATTGCGATCCCTTCTATGATTTTCCCTCTCCCATCCCTAAAGTTATATTTAGTTTTTACATAATGTACAATAAATACAGTGACTGCATTTTAATATGATAATTTTTTAAAGAAAGTTCTCAACCATTGATTTTTCTAGATTCATTTCATAGCTTCCACTTGACAGTTTGAATTACTTTAATTTTATTATTTTTGTTGTTTTTGTTTTGTTTTTGGGGTCCAGTCATGGGACCTGAACTCTGGGCCTGGGTGCTGTCCCTCAGCTCTTCAGCTCAAGGCTAGCGCTCTACCACTTGAGCCACAGCACCACTTCCGGCTTTTTTCTTTTTTCTTTTTTTTTGCTTATGTGGTGCTGAGGAATCAAACCCAGGGCCTCATGCATGCAAGGCAATTGCTCTACCACTGAGCCACCTTCCCAGCCCCTTTAATTTTATTATTAAGGAAAGCAATTTTCCTGATTCTCATGAAGCTATTTGGGCCTAAGATTACTGGATTTTGTTTTGGACGGACTTGTGCCAGTACTAAGGCTTGAGCTCAGCCTCCAGCTCTCACTTGGCTTTTTCACTCATAGCTGATGCTCCACCACTTGACTCAGGCCTCCACTTCCATCTTTCGTTAATAAACTGTAGATACCAGTCTTGTGATTTGTCTGCCTGCCTGGCTTTGAACTTTGATCCTCAGATCTCAACCTCCTTAGTTTAGAAATTAAAGGCATGAATCTCAGCACTAGGCTAAGGATGATTAGACTTATTAACCATTTAGTGTTAAAAGAATCTTTTTCCCAACTCTTTAATTCTTTTGGATGAATTGGTTTTGTTGTAAGGTGTGTTTTTTCTCTCCTTTTTGGGGGGGGGGGGGGGGGGTCTGGTCATGGGGCCTGAACTCGGCCTGGGCGTTGTCCCTCAGCTCTTCAGCTCAAGGCTAACGCTCTACCACTTGAGCCACAGCGCCACTTCCGGCTTTTTTCTTTTTGCTTATGTGATGCTGAGGAATGGAAGCCTCATGCATGCAAGGCAAGCGCTCTACCACTGACCCACCTTCCCAGCCAGAGGCTAGCTTTTTTAAAAAGTAATATATTTTAGTAAATATTAGAATACATTTTTTTCAGGCAATTTTCATATATAAGACCAAGACTGACTTTGTATATTTAAAAAATCAGGATTTTAGGATCTAATTTGCAAATATAATGACAAGTTTAGATTCTAAAGCAATATAAACTTACAAAACTTTAGGGTATTTGTGTTAGATTATCGGTATTCTTTTATGATACTCAAATGTGCTTTTATGAACAATTTTTAGAATACATATCTTAGCAAAAATGAGATATCTTTTAGATAATGTGAATGTGGTCTGTATCCTTTTAAGAGCAGAAGCCTTAAAAATATACAATGGTGGCACAAACCTAGCTATTTGAGAGGCAGAGGTGGGAGGGTTAAGGTTTGAGGCCAACTCAGACAATAAAAAGTTTGTGAGGCCAGGTGCTCACACCTATAATCCTTGATACCCAGGAGACTGAGATCTGAAGACCAGGCTTCAGAACCAGCCTTGAGAAAAATCCATGAGACTCTTTATCTCCAGGTAACCTACAAACAAGCCAGAAATAGAGCTGTAGCACGCACGCGCGCGCACACACACACACACACACACACACACACACACACACACACACACACACACACACACACACACACACACACACACACACACACACACACACACACACACACACACACACACACACACACACACACACACTTTGTGAGATTTGGTGGTTTGTACCTGTCATCCCAGGGACATAAGGAAGTAAAAATCAGAGGCCATTCCAAGCATATAATGAAATCCTTTCTCAAAAAATAACCAACACAGGGCTGGGAAAGTGGCTCAGTGGTAGAGTGCTTGCCTTGCATGCATGAGGCCCCGGGTTCAATTCCTCAGCACCACATAAGCAAAAAGAAAAAAAAGCCGGAAGTGGCGCTGTGGCTCAAGTGGTAGAGCACTAGCCTTGAGCTGAAGAGCTGAGGGATAGTGCCCAGGCCCAGAGTTCAGGCCCCACAACTGGACCAAAAAAAAAAAAAAATAACCAACACAGAAAAGGCTGGCAGCGGGGCGCCAGTGGCTCACCCCTGTAATCCTAGCTACTCAGGAAGCTGAGATCCGAGAATCACAATTCAAAGCCAGCCGGGGCAGGAAAGTCTGTGAGACTCTTATCTCCAGTTAACCACTAGAAAGCCGGAAGTAGTGCTGTGGCTGAAGCGGTTGAGCGTTCGGACAGCACCCAAGCCCAAAGTTCAAGCCCCACGACCACCAAAAAAAAACTAAAAAAGGCTGGCAAGTGGCTAAGCAACTTCTGTCAAGAGTGAGGCCCTGGGCGGGGAATATGGCAAGAGTGAGGCCCTGAGTACAAACCTCAGTCCAGATGGAGAGAAAGAGTGGCTTTGATTGTATGAATTAACATCTCTGTGCTCTAATTTTTCTGTCTTAGGCCATTTAGGCTGCTATAATAAATACTGTAGACTGGTTGCTTATATAAATGGTAGAGATTTATTTCTCACAGTTGTAGAAGCTCGGAAGTTCCAAGGTCAAGATGCCACCATATTTGGTATCTGGTGAGGGCTTATTTCCTATTCTGTAGATGGTTTTGGTTACTTGTGCTTATGTGGCAGATGTGCTTATGTGGCAGGAGTTACTTAGCTCTCTGGGGTCTGCTTTCTAAGTATACTATTCCCAATCATGAGATTTTTGCCCTTTTGAAGTAATTGTCTCTCAAAGGCCCTACCTACCTCCTAGTATCATGACCTTGGGGATTAGCATTTCAACATTTGAATGGGATTGGGGACTACAAACATTTAAATCTATAAAGTTGAATACTAATAACTACCTCTTGGATGTCAAGATTAAAGCAAATGATATTCTTGTTACTAATTACCATAGTGGTTTTTTTTTAACTACAGTCTTTGTGTTTTTGTTTTCATGCTTGTATTTTTTACATTTCCTTCCATTTGACTTTGCCTTTTTGTCTCCTGTAGGCCTATGTCTGTCCACTTAGGTGTGAGTTGTATTTGTGTGTTAGGGATGATCTTTCAGTGTAATGTTCAAAACTGCCATGTTGGGCACTATTCTGATCATTGACTATTAAGAGTAACGTCAGTGTTAACTAACTCTCCTTGCCTGACAGTAGTGCTGCCACTATTCCTTGTTTCTGTGGTACTAGATGAGGTTTGTATGGTCCTGTTATTCCAGCCTCCAGACACCATTCCAGATCTACTGGTGCCCTCTACGCCCCCGATGTGTATGGGGCCTCAGGTGAAGGATGAGTACATTTTCATTATCATCTATGTTCATCTCAGATTTTGTTCTTTTCAGTTTTCACTGAATAATACTCAGTTTCAAAATTGATTTGTTTTTAGTTGGATTTAATTTATTAGAGAATCACTTGTGTATGTCTGGATTTTTTTTGGTTTGTTTTTTTTTCCCCCTAAATAACTTTTCCCCTTCAGCAACCTTACATTCTTCTTGCTGGCAGATGGACATTTTTCTTTTTAATAACATATTTAAAAATAGAGGACTGTTTTATGTTTTCATTGACTTCATATTTTTGTTTATGTGTTTAAAAAAAACCAAAATGGTGGATGAAGTGTTTTAATTGTAAGTGATAACATACAAAGCACTTAAGGGGGAGAGAATTCATCTCTGGTTTGTCTTTACATATCTCAAACTGTTGGGCACTTAGTAGCCGCTTAACAGTTATTGGATCTATTTTAGTTAAAAAATAAAATCAACTTATCTTGACAGAAAAATTGGAGTTTTTGTCTTCTACCTGGTACCCTTAAATAAATAGTTGTTATTCTTCAATTTTCTACACATTGTCAATAATTGTAATTGTTATTACCTTATTATTTGACCTAAAACTTGGTGTACCCAGAAAATACAATATTGCTTTTAAAATGCTTTGCCCCATTGGTTTTTTTTTCCCCCCCTCTAAGGATATTAGCCTCCCAACCTGACACCATTACATTTGTGTACTATCTCAAAACTGCTTTCCTTCTTTTCTTATATTAGGTCCAGGGTATGGGATCAGCCAATCGAGCCGACTGTCATCTTCTGTCAGTGCCATGAGAGTCCTGAATACTGGGTCCGATGTGGAAGAAGCAGTAGCTGATGCCTTGGTACTCTCTCCATTTCCCTGTCATTGTAATGTTCTTAGGAAATAGTACATGAGTGAGCCTTTCACTGTAGGAAAAAGGATGGGGAAATTCTTCTGGATTAAATCTAGAAACACAAAATATGGATAATATAAAAAGCACAATAGTTCAGCGATTGGTAGCTTATGCCCAAACCCCTAGCTACTCAGGAAGCTGAGATCTGAGGATCATGGTTCAAAGGCAGCCTAGGCAGGAAAGTCCATGAGACTCTTACCTACAATTAACCACCAGAAAATCAGAAGTGGTACTGTACCTTATGTGGTAGAACGCTGAAGAGGTCAGGGTTAGTGCCAAGCCCTACCACCACCACCAAAAAAAAAAATCTATCTTTCTAGTTCTTTATGCCTCATATTAAACAGGTTTAAAAGTTTATTTGAAAGATTGCTATACAACATATGTGTGTATGTATATGTGTGTGCATGTATGTGTGTATATATACATACATCATCAAAAGAGTGCCAAGGGACTCAAGTTATGAATTACGATGTTTATTCTGTTTTTGAGAAGCATTTATTCATTTCCTTCAGTGAGGGCATAGAGCAAGGGCCTTATGCAGATTTAGTAAATTAATTACTCAGAATTTATAATAGGGTCTCATTGCTGTTTTCAATTCACTATTTTTTTTCTCCAGTCCTACAGTGGAACCCAAGGCCTCACACATCCTATTTAATCACTCTTATCACTGAGCTTCACCCTCAGCCCTTTACTTTTGAAATTTAAAATTACTTTTGAAATTTAAAAATATCTTATATCACTAAAACTATAGATTGTACCTTAACCAGTGTATTATAATAATTTTGCCTCAGATTTGAAAGACAAGGTTTTTTTAATTATTGATATTGGCCTGATTGACTATCTTTTTCTCCCTGTGTCTTGAACTCAGGGCCTGGGCAATATCCCTGAGCTTCTTTTGCTCAAGATTAGTGCTCTACCACAGCACCACTCCCAGCCTTTTCTGTTTATGTGGTACTGAGGAATCGAACCCAGGGCTTCATGCATGCTAGGCAAGCACTACCACTAAGCCACATTCCTAGCCCCCTCTACTTTAACATTCTATGTACTGAATTTTTCCCTTTAGCCATCTGATTATTTTTTATAAATTAATGTAGGTCGAGATTTAGTTCCCCACGGAGGCTCGTGTATATTGATCATATATTTTTATTATGATGTTTAATCATGTTTTAAGTTCATTACTGTTCATCACTATATTTCTCAAATATTTTCTAGTGTTTTTTAAATTGTATGGTTACCAATTAAATATGGCATATGCACATTTTATGACTTGAACAGATTATTTTTAACTATTACACAAAGAAAATGAGATATTTGAGTTATATAAGCTTATTTAACAATGAAGGAATCCCAGTAATATGATTCTACTTCACTTTGTAACTGTCTATATATTTTTATTTTATTTTATTGTCAATCACGGGGCTTGAACTCTAGACCTGGGCGCTGTCCCTCGGCTCTTCAGCTGAAGGCAAGCACTCACAGTGCCACTTCCTGTCAGGTTTTTTTTTTAAGAAAAATAAATTTCGTCTACTAAGCCTAATTTTGACGTGGGAAAATAAAATTATATTTGGAAATGGCAAAAAGATACAAATAAGAAAAATGGTTTTAATTTATTTGGGAAAACTTTTTATACCCTAGGTATTCTCCTTAAATAAGCAGATCTTTTGTATCTAATGTTAAAAAAAAGCTTAATGTTTCTAATCATTGGCATTGTTAATGCCCGTTTTACTGTGCTGTTTAGCAAAATGTTCTTCATTATTTTCAATTTTTCTCTTTAAAAATTTACTGCTCTCAGCTCTTAGGAGACATACGGACCAAGGTATAGACATTGCTGTTTTTTTGACATCTTATGGTATTATAACTTAACATCCTTTGCCTCATCAACTTTAACAGATGATGGTCTTCTGTAAAAAATTAAAGTGGAAGTAATAAAAATATATGTTTTTTTCTGTAACTGATTATTTCACAATTTACTATCAAGAGGGAGATACTGCTTGAATAGTATCTTAAGAGAAAAGCTCAACTTTTTCCTACAAATGAGTTGAGATCACTTACTTTGTTAGAGACAAAACAAAACAGATATGGAGGCCTTGTAGCTGTAATGTGCAGGAAACATCACAGTATTACCACTGTAAATTAAGTTGGAGATTCTAAATCAGTATGAGGGCAATTAGTGATGGAAACTTCATTATAAAACTATTTGAACTATTAAAATTCAGATCATTTTTCTTTAGATTTAGCCTGATAGTACTTACAGACACTTAGAACTCTTTTAAATTATTATGGTTAATATACTTCATAGAAATACCATTATTACTGCTTACTACTCAAAATCCCAGAAATCAGATTACATACATGTTTCCAATTCTTCCAAAGAAATTTCAAATGAGCTAATTACCTCATGTCACTTCTAATATGCAAGGTATAATTGGCAGTTACAAATATTAAACTATAAGCCTTAGATGCAAAGAAATCAAAGGAATCCAAATGTGCTTTCTCATATTTCATTTAAAGAGACAGTATAAATACATTGAGAAAACTGAGGAAAGCCCTTAAGGATCTTGCCTCCTAGAAATACTAGTAAGTGAAAAGTTTCTTATCATCTTTGTATTTTACTTCTCTAGGAGACATGAGGGTTGGATACAGCGAAGGAGGAATGAGAAGAGAAGTGGTAGTAGAGGTAAAGGAGAATAGGAAAGAGGAGATGTAGACAGAAAAAAAATGCAATTTGAACATAGGAGAAAGTATGCATTTTTTGATCCATAGTATATTCCTCCTCTACAAAGGTTATTACCTTTATAAAAAAATATATTTTTCTCACTACCAACTTGTATTTCTAGTACAGTTTATTAATTTACATTCTAGTACTTGTTTTCCATGAAAAGAAAAAAACTTTTTTGAGCACTTCCCACTTGATCCATCTGAAATTCTGACTTATGCTACCTCCTCCACTTCCCATAGTTAAAGAATATTTCACTTACTACTAACTTGTAAAACACATTTCTTGAGCAAACAACTAAATTGTGACATTTTATTATGGCAATGATGAACAGCATGCTTTGTACCTGTTTTAAATCAGTTCTTTTGTGGTCAGTAGATACAATGAAATACCAATATATTTTTAACTACTGCTAATAAGATTCTTTATGTATAACAGAAAAAACCTGCTCGAAGACGATATGAATCCTATGGAATGCATTCAGATGATGATGCCAACAGTGATGCTTCTAGTGCTTGTTCAGAACGCTCCTATAGTTCTCGAAATGGTAGTATTCCTACATATATGAGACAGACGGAAGATGTGGCAGAAGTTCTCAATAGATGTGCTAGTTCCAATTGGTCAGAAAGGAAAGAAGGCCTCCTGGGTCTGCAAAACTTATTAAAAAATCAAAGAACTCTAAGGTAAGTTGTCTTGTCTATCAGGTTAGTGTGCATGCGTGCGTGCGTGTGTGGGGGGGTGTGTTTGTGTGTTAGCATTAACAAGGTATAAATACTTACTAGACAAGTTCTCTACCCCTTGAGCCACACTCCCACTCCCAGCTTTTGTTGTTTTTATTATTATTCAGTAGTAGAGTCTCACCTTTTTGGTTGGTAAGCCTAGACAGCCATCTTCCTATTTACTTATCATATAGCTTGATGGCTCCTACATACCACCAGGTTCTATCCAATGAAACATTTTAAATTGAAATTTTTTATTTACCAAGAAGTAGCTACATAAATTTAAGTGAATAGTAAAAGCTGTAGCTATGGTTCTGGTAGTATTTGCAAGGCCCTGGGTTTGACCTTGTAAAAACAGTTTTCATAATACTTCTTATACTGGCAACAAAAGCTGGGTGCTTGTGCCTGTAATCCTAGCTACTCAGGAAGCTGAGCTCTGAGGATCATAGTTGGAAGCCAGCCCAGGCAGAAAAATCCATGAGATTCTTATCTCTGTTGAAGCACTAAAAAAGCTGGAAGTAGAGCTGTGGCTTAAGTGGTAGAGTGCTAGCCTTTTGTAAAAAGCTAAGGGACAACATCCAAGCCCTGAATTAGTGTCAGAACCAGCACCAAAAAAAAAGAATAAATAACAGTCCTTTATACAACAGCTTAAAGATAATAAAAATTATTTTTAAGCCGGGCGCTGGTGGCTCACGCCTGTAATCCTAGCTACTCAGGAGGCTGAGATCTGAGGATCACGGTTCAAAGCCAGCCCGGGCAGGAGAGACCATGAGACTCCTATCTCCAATAAACCACCAGAAAACCAGAAGTGGCGCTGTAGCTCAAGTGGTAGAGCGCTGGCCTTGAGCTGAAGAGCTGAGGGACAGCGCCCAGGCCCAGAGTTCAAGCCCCACGACCGACCCAAAAAAAAAAAAATTATTTTTAAATGTATACACACATAATAATAAAATTGGCTAGTGGATCAAACTTTATTCTTTGTAAGTTTTTAGTAAGAACAGATTTTTAGGCTTTCTTATTCAATAATAAAGTCTTTTTGGAGAGCTTCATATAATGAAATTATAAGAACCAATGATTATTTAAACTATAGAGTTTGGGGATTTCTGATGGCTTTGCTTTCTTTTACTTTATATCCTTCATTGTCCTTGTGTGTGTAATGTTTTTAACCTTTTAACAGTTGGACCCCTTAAGGATTTAATTGTAGATAACTTTGTAGTTTGACTTGGGAAGAATATGGAGGGCTACTTTCTGACTTGATATCAATGAAATCAGAATTTGGTATACTTATTGTATATTTATGTTTTGTTTTGCTTTTTTGGGGGGGCCTGAACTCTGGGCCTGGGCGCTGTCCCTCAGCTCTTCAGCTCAAGGCTAGAGCCACAGCATCACTTCTGGCTTTTTTTCTTTGTGCTTATTTGGTACTGAGGAATCGAACCCAGGGCCTCACGCATGCAAGGCAAGCGCTCTACCACTGAGCCACCTTCCCAACCCCTGTATATTTATGTTTTTTAAAATACACATATCACACCTCATATCTCACTGTAATAAATCATTTGAATGTTCCTAGACTTATCAAGATTGTTAGGCTCACTATATCATCTTAAAATATCATTTTAAAAGGCAAAGTTTAGAAAGATTTTAGCCTTTAAATGGCAAAACATCTTAGGTAAGATATATGTTCTGAGAATGCTATGTGCATAATGTTTCCTGTTGTGCTGCATTAAATACAATTTTCTTTTCAGAACTTCAAACCTTTAAAATAATGTAGGTTACAACACAATTGTTACTGTATGTGATAACTTTATATCCCTAACTTGTAAATCCCACAAATTTCCCAATTTTAAGGGGTAATTTTTTAACATTTTGTTATTTTGTTAATAATTTTATGGAAAAATTACCTTTTTTGTCCCAGACTGGGACTCAAACTTGGCATCTGACACTTTCACTCATTGGCTGATACTCTTCCCCCTGAACCACATCTCTAACTGAAAAGTTGCTTTTAAATTACTTCATCTTGTATTAATTCATCCAAGATAATAATCCACCATTCTATTATTTTGGCAGTCGAGTTGAACTGAAGAGGTTATGTGAAATTTTCACAAGAATGTTTGCTGATCCTCATGGCAAGGTACGTTTTAGTATTGAAAATTATATTTTAAAAAACATTTATTTCTAAAATAGTAGTGATATTTTCAAGCATAGCATTGTTTATTATCATATTTAATTGATAAGTTGCTCTTTGGTAATTAACAGTTCAAGCTTCTCCAGAGATTGAAAGTGAAAACTGTAGGACATTACAAGCACAGTTCTTTATAATTTATCATATAATATCTCATGTTACTAATATTTCACTATTTGTAAAGGATGTAATTGGAGTAAGTCAAAAGAAGCTACTAATATTTCATTCTTTTTTTCTTTGATTATTACTGTGATTTTTAATATAAATGTTTTCTTATATTGAAAAATAATTTTGTAGAATTGTCATTAAATAGAACAAAATACGGCTATCGCCATAGTTTGGTAGTCGTATGAAAAATGAAATATTTCATACATTGAAATAATACAGAAAAATTTAGAACTTCATTCAGTTGTTAAATATTCACTCAGATATATTTTATTACATACTTAGGGATAATCTGCATGTACAATGTGAAATTTGGTTTACCTAAATGGATGATGCTATTATAAAAGTTATTCTATTTCCAGCAATGTGTTGGACAGTGAGGAAACCTTATTACATATCTTTCTTTAGGACGTCAAGTATCTACAGGAGAATTTCTAAACTAAATGAGATAGATGTATTAAGAAAAGTATAAGAAAAATATTAATGAATTCCACTTTGTTTTGTTGTCTTCATTTTATTTTTGTATATATATCATTTCTTCATTTCTATTTTTAGTATTTTCATTGCTTCTGACACTTAAAGTTATTAAAAAACCCACTTGATGCATAAACTAAACGAGCTAAACATTTTAATCCATTGGGATTTGTACATAGTTAATATAAATTGCTTATGCTTTAAATAGTTTTTTAGAGTTATTAGTGAGTGTGCACATGTGCACACTGACCTGGGGGCTTGAACTCAGGACCTGAGCACTGTCTTGAGTGTTTTTGCTCAAGGCTAGTGTACTACCACTTAAATTGCAGCTCCACATCTGACTTGGAGCTTAGAGTCTCATCAGTTTTCTTGCCAGACGGCTTCAAACCATGATCTTCAAATTTCAGCCTCTTGAAAGGTCGTTAGGATTATAGGCATGAGTGATCAGCACCCAGCCTTTGAAACAGCTTTCAGTGATTATCATGTACTAGAGGTAAATTTGTTTTATCTGCAAGCAAAAGGTCCCATTAAAAGTTAAAAATGAAATACATTGGTAAGGAGTTCATCTATTAAAATGTGTAATTTTCAAACTAAATATCTAAGCAAATGCCATTTTATATTGCAGTTGCTACTAATTACAGCTGTAGAATTTGCCTTACTGTAAAAATATCTACAAATTATAAACAAATTAACTTTTGGTCATCTTAGTTGGCAGTATAAGCCAAATAAGAAGATAGTTTTCTGGCGAACACACATTTTTTTAAAAAAAAGATTTGTGGGGCCAGGAGCTGGTAGCTCACACCTATAATCCTAGCTACTCAGAAGTCTGAGATTTGAAGGTCGTGGTTCAAAGCCAGCCCAGGCAGGAAAGTCTGTGAGACTCATCTCCAATTAACCACCAGAAGTGGTACTGTGGCTCAAGTGGTAGGGCACTCACCTTGAGCTGGAGGGTTGAGAGACAGTGCCCAAGCCCAGAGTTCAAGCCCCACAACTGACCCCCCCCCCAAAAAAAAAAATGTGGGGAGAACTTAGGCAGGTGTTTTGGTTTGGGTTTTTTTTTTTGCTGTTCCTGTGGCTCAAACTCTTGGCCTGGGCACTGTCCCTGAGCTCCTTTTTCTCAAGGCTAGACTAGTGCTCTACTACTTGAGCCACAGTACCACTTCCAGCTTTTGTTGTGATTAATTGAAGTTAAGAGTCTCATGGACTTTCTTGCGCGGGATGGCTTTGAACCACATGTGATCCTCAGATCTCAGCTTCCTGAATAGCTAGGATGACAGGTATGAGCCTCTGTTGCCTGGCTCTTAGGTAAGTATTCTTGATCCACAGTTCTAGCCTAACGTTTTTCTGGTTATTTTGAGTAGCTAGGATCACAGGCATGAGCAATCAATGACCACTGAGAAACAGCTTTTAAAAAGATGTTTCTCTGATATAAATCAGGTGTGCTTTAGCTTGTATGCAGACATTGTAGAAAAGAATGCCTAGAAAATAATTCTTTCTGAATGCAGTCAAAAGTAGATCCAGGATTTTTTTTTTTTTTTTGGAACAGAAATAATACGGTTAGTAAACATAGTTTACAAGTTGAAATTATTTGATATCTATAGTTTAATTAATTACCTTTTTTGCTTTATATGTAGTTGTCTCCCAGTATCCCCAAGGGCTTAGTTCCGCACAAAACAGTGTAGTTCTTGTTTATAACCTGTGCCTATCTTCCTGAATGCTTTAAATCATCTTTAAGTTACTTTTAACACTTAATATAATGTGAATGTTGTATAAATAGTTCTTTCTGTATATTGCATAAGGAATGATAGCAAGAAAAAAATGTTTTATATATGTTCAGTACAGATAGAAGTTTTTCCTGAACATTTTTAGCTCATAGTTGGTTGAATCCATGGATTCAACCTGTAGATATAAGAGACTAACTAGAAGGGGTACAGCTGCTCAAGTGATAGAGCAATCAGCTTGAACTGAAGAGCTCAGGGACAGTGCCCAGGCCCAGAGTTCCAGCTCCATGACTGACAAAAAGAAAATAAGTGATCTGAGTCCTGTAATCCAGCTAGCTACTTGGGATGGAGATAGGAGATTTGCAGTTTGAGGCCAGCTCTATTTCAAAAAATAAATAAATTTGACATGGTGACCATGCCTATAATCTCAGCTACCCAGGTGGAGGCCACCTAATCAAAATCTGAAGACTCAAGGGAAAAACAAACTAAAGTAAAAAGGGATTGAGAGTGTGCAAAGGATGACTGACAGCATGGCTCAGATGATAGAGCACTTGCCTAACAGGTACAAAGATCTGAATCCAAACCTACTACCCCCAAAGAAGAAAATAAAAATAAATAACTTATCCATGATCTAACTTAAACCCTAAAACACCAGCCTATTACTAAAGCCTTTAAATAATTTTACAAAGAGTTAGTACAACATGGAATTTAGATTGTGTAGGTTTACTGTCTTCAGTTCTTTTTTTTTTTTTTTTGTCGGCCATGGGGCCTGAACTTGGCCTGGGCACTGACACCCTCAGCTCTTCAACTCAAGCGCTGTACCACTTGAGCCACAGTGCCACTTCTGGCTTTTTCTGGTTATGTGCTGCTGAGGAATCGAACCCAGGGACTCATGCATGCAGGCAAGCACTACCACTGAGCCACCTTCCCCTATCTTAAGTTCTTAATAGGAATGTATACCCTTGTTTCTTATCTATATGCAGAGTGTGATCATAATATCCACCTCATAAAACTGTGATCCTGATTGAGAGTTAATATTAAGTGAATAAATCTTTTAGGACATATCAAGTACTTCAGCATATAAAAACATCAACTGTAAATAAGTTTTAAAAATTAACCAGCTCAGGTTAGGTTTTAATTTTGACTACTTGGACGTATATTTTTCCCTCAAGTATAATTGATGCCAGAATTTATCCATATGGTTCTAGTCTTTGACTCTGGAGGAAGTCTTTGTCAGAAGTCATATTCACAGAGGTGTATTCTATGGATTGATCTTTTGTAGCCTTTGTAATCTTACCTCTCCAATCATGCCTTTGACCCTTGCATTGTTAGAGAGTTAAATCTGTGACTTCTACACTAGGGCCTAGTTGAGTGCCTTTCTTATAAGGACATGTCTTCTGACTAGCATTCTAGGCAGTTCCAAAGCTCCCTGTCCTTGGAATAGAAGACTGTAATACACATCCTACCTAAAGAATTTTAAAGTTTGTAGTATATAAACAGTTTTTACCTTGAAACAAAAGTAATTGTTCTAAGACTTAACGGAAATTATTGAACTTGTGAAAGTATTTCTTCTTGGGGAAGGGAAGAGCTAGGCAAAGAAAAGGAAAATATTCTTATTATGATTTGGATCCATATAGTGACCATAGAAATAAGGATGAGGCCAGGTGTCGGTGGCTCATGCCTGCAATCCTAGCTACTCAGGAGGCTAAAATCTGAGGATCGCAGTTCAAAGCCAGCTCTGGCAGAGGAAAGTTCATGAAACTCTTATCTCCAATTAATCACCAGAAAACCCGAAGGAGTGCTGTGGCTCAAGTGGTAGAGTGCTAGCCTTGAGCTGAAGAGATGAGGGACAGTGCCCAGGCCCACAGTTCTAACCCCACGACCTACCAAAAAAAAAAGTAGGAACAAAATAAGATGACCTCCTGTTACTTTCAGATTCTTTCCAGAAATTGAAATTGAGCCTGAAAGATAATAGAATGTACCAAAAAAAAAAAAAACTTTTCATTTTTTTTCCTGTTCATTTGTTGTTGTTTTTGTTGTTGTTTTACTTTTTTATTATTGGCAGTAAATTACAAGAGGAACACAGGAAAATCATATTTTTCTTCCATGCTATTCATTTAGCTTTTGTTTTAAAAACTGTTTTGAGTCTATCATAAAACTTTGAAAAACATTTGTCACTTTTATTTTCTAAGTGTTTTCCTTCCATACAGGAACTTTGCATTATTGATCGCGACTAATTTGTGTGTTTTTCTTTTTTTTCTTTTTTTCTTTTTGCATGCTGTCCCCTGTGTTGGAACTCTCAATAGAGAGTAAGTTGGTTCAATATTTGTTAGAAAGCTAACTTGCTGCATGATTGTGACATTAACCCTTTTTCTCTGTTTTCTCTCCTGAAGAATTCATGCAGTGTTGGACCCTTTGTAATCCACGAAATGCTACTTGCAGTTATGCAAACTGTCATTCTGTTTGGAGATGTGCTTTTTAATCTACTAATTAATCTAATTTATGTTCTTCTGTATTTGATGACTGGCACACCTAAGAGAGTGAGTGTAAGAAAAGGCTGCCTCAATTGTAATAGCTCAAATATTTAATTCTTTCTCAACAAATGACAGTTGTCAGATATGTAGGATTATAAATTGATTCCATTGAAAGTTAAAAATAGTACTCAAGTTTCATCATTTGTTTTTGTCCAACACTGGAACTCAAACTCAGCCCCTGATACTTTTACTCATTAGCTAGAGCTCTACCAAATAAACCATGCCTTCAATACTGTTTCACAATTGTATAAAAAAAATCACTTAACCCTACTTCTTTGTGTGTACTTTCTAAAATTCTGTTCCCATCATTCTATTAAAGCAAACCTAGAACAGTTTACTCTCCGTTCTGTCTTTTGAAATAAAAATTTCATTCCTCGAATATCAACATCCAAGAGCAACTTTATTATTAAGCTCAAAATTATGTGTCTGTTTCCCATATATTATGGATATGGCTATCCATATTATATGTATATCAATTATATATGTGATCAATTTGTAAATGCTACTAACAGGATATAAATACCTGTTTAAAAAGTAAGAGTGGGGCTGGGAAGGTGGCTCAGTGGTAGAGCGCTTGCCTTGCATGCCTGAGGCCCTGGGTTCGATTCCTCAGCACCACATAAGCAAAAAGAAGAAAGCCGGAAGTGACGCTGTGGCTCAAGTGGTAGAGCACTAGCCTTGAGCTGAAGAGCAGAGGGACAGCACCTAGGCCCAGAGTTCAGGCCCCACGACCAGACCCAAAAATAAAAAAAAATAAAAAAATAAAAAGTAAGAGTATAATTCTATATGTAGAATGATATAAATTACCTATCTATATTTTTATCCAGCTACTCATTACATCTAACCAAAAGAAACTTCTGCTTTAGACACAGCAGTTTAAGACTTTAGCTAAAATGTATTCTTAGCTAGAATTCTATGAAGGGAAACTCTTCATTCGGGGAAGAAAACCAATTGTAGTTGACAACCAATTATAGGGTAATTTTTACTTAGGAGACAGTCTTTATATTCATCAAACAACTTTGTATTGGTTCCTTAGTCTGTAGGTAAGTTTGAGCTTGGTTCCAATTGGTCATGCAAGAATGAATAGAAATATAGTGTTGACCATGCATGGTGGTGAACATCTATAATCTCAAAACTAGGGAGCATCGAGGAGTATTGGGGGTTTGTGGCCAGCCTGACTACATGGTAAGACCCTGTCTCGGAAAGAAAGAGGAGAGAAAATTTATTTCCAAACAGTATGGTTCAGGTACCACCATAAATAGGTAGTCCCACTATGAGTTCAAAGTAGGGAAGAACTAGTCATCCTAGAAGCTTTTTGGCTGAGACTTGAGTGATAAACTTCATAGAGCATAACATTATGTGTGTATATGAATGGAGGGTGGAATGGGGGCCAGCAGTGGAGGGAATCATTAAAACTCATAGGTTATATGAGATGTATGTGAAGGGAAAGAGATAGTCTACATAACCAGATAGGCCTAGATCAATTTGGAGGTTACAACCTTAATGACAGTTTGAGGGTCTATCCTACAGCAAAGGAGGTGGAGAGAACGTACAGATTTTATTTGTTATATCCCAATCTTAGAGTAAAGAAAAAGCACAAGTTGGTAAACAACCTGAACTTGTAGCCTAAATATGTCCTGTAGCCTATTTTTGTAAATACAGTTATATTGGAAAACAGCCATGTTTATTTATGCTTATTTTTATGCGTAGCTTCTATGGCTGTGCTAGAAAGATAACAGGGCAAAGTAGATGTGTGAGATGGTTGTGTGAGATATGGTTTATGAAGCCTCAAATATTTACTATCTGGCTTGTTATAGAAGCTATTTGATGACCAGAGCCCCTAGTATATAGGTAGTTGCAGTAATCCAGACCTGCTATTAGAAGTGCTTGATGTGCCTATTGCTATCATGTGGTAAATAAAGCTACTCTGGAGATTTCTGGGGCCTTGTAGGATAGGTAGAGCAGAGAGGCCTGTCACCTTATAATGAAGGGAGAGTCAGGATAAAGACATACATACACACAATAAATAGAAGGGAATGCCTGACAACAAGAAAGAAGAGAAATAAGAGGAACACAGTGTTAAGTGTCAGAATGGTGAAATATACTGAGCTTAAGAAAAAGCTAGACAGGCGCTAGTAGCTCATGCCTGTAATCCTAGCTACTCAGGAGGCTGAGATCTAAGGATCGCAGTTCAAAGCCAGCACATGCAGAAAAGTTCCTGTAAAACTCTTATCTCTAATTAATTAATTAAACTCAAAAACTGGAAGTGGGGCTGTGGCTTAAAGTGGTAGAAGGGTAGCCTTGAGCAAAAGAGCTCAGGGACACTATCAGGCCCTGAGTTCAAGCCCCACAACAGACAGACAGACAGACAGACAGATAGATGAGAGAGAGAGAAGAAAGAAAAAGAAAAGAAAGGGAGAGAAGAGAAAGAGAGGAAGGAAGCTGTTACGTATCACAAGTAGAAATGAAGTAGTGGAACAATCAGATGAAACTTCAGAGAGAAATTCCTGGGATGGCATATTCTGAAAATAAAGGGTTTAGGTAAGGAATCAACAAGTAAAGCTAGAAGCTGGGAGTGTTGGGTTACATTATCCTATTTACTCAGGAGGCTAAGATCAGAAGGATCTTAGTTTAAAGCCATCCCTATCAAAAAGTTTGCAAAGAGCTGGGTGCTGGTGGCTCACACCTCTAATTCTAGCTTCTCAGGAGGCTGACATCTGAGATTGTGGGTCAAAGCCAGCCCAGGCAAGAAAGTCCATGATACCCTTATCTCTAGTAAACCACTCAAAAACCAGAAGTGGCACTATGGCTCAAAGTGGTAGAGCTCTAGCCTTGAGTACTCAGGGACAATGCCCAGGCCCTGAGTTCAAGCCCCAGGACCAACAAAAAAAAGTTTGAAAGACCCCCTTCTCAACCAATAAAAAACCGAATGGTATGTGGTGAGGACCTGTTATCCCAGCAACACAAGAAGTAAAAATAGAAGAGCCATGGTCCAGGTAGCCCAGGCAAACAATGAGACCCTGTTTGAAAATAACAAAAGTGAAAGGGCTAGAGATGTGGCTCAAGTGGTAGAGCATCTGCCTAGCTAGCAAAGTCCTGAGTTGTTGAGACCTAAGTACCTCAAATATAAAATACATAAAGATAAATAAAGGGGGAGAAGACCACACTCAGAAGGCAAAATGCAACATAGAAATACTAGCCTTAAGAAGAAATAAAATCGGATACTCATTGGAAAAAATGAGACTTCGAAAATGAGATACAGAAGAAATCAAGTTAAATAAAGCGGTGCAGAATTTTGTTAATGACAGTAAAATGCATGAGGTAACCCATCTAGTAAATAGAGCAGACACTGCCTGAGGACAGATAGTATGTAAAGTTTCTGTTTTTACAAATACAGAGCATCTTCAGCAAATAGCTTAATTGCATTTTTTTCAGTCGTGGGGGCTAAACTCTGGACTTGGGTGCTGTCCCTCAGCTCTTCAGCTCAAGGCTAGCACCCTACCACTTGAAGCCACAGCACCATTTCCAGCTTTTTTTCCGCTTATGTGGTACTGAGGAATTGAACCCAGGGCCTCATGCATGTGAGGCAAGCACTCTATCACCAAGCCATCTTCCCAGCCCTTAGTTGCATTTTTTTATCTTTAACTCAGATTCAGATGTTAAAGATTAGTTATAACTAATACAGGAAATCCTTCATGGTTTCATAAGAAAGTAATGTTCATATGCTCAATAGGAAATGGACTCATTACCTTGTTCATGTAACTATAATCCTTCTGTACAGTATCTTTACAATAAAATATATATATATTTAAAAAATATAAGAAAATAATGTTCGTGTAAAATTGCATAAAGGATTTAAGAAATGAAATGTGCTTTGAAAGCCAAATGCTTTTAATTCTCAAATTAGCCTGATAATCCTTGTCATAATTCAGTATTTTTTAAGTAACATAGTTTTAATCATCTGTTCTGCTTTTGATTTCTCACCGTGCAGGGCAGTATGGCTAAAACTCTTGAAAGATTTTTTTCCTCTTTACCTAGAAGTAAATTTTCAGTACAGCAATGAATTTCTTAGAAAATTATAGCTTGTTGTTGGTCACTTCATAAATATTTTAATGAAGTATATCACTTATGAACGTTAGCTTCTGTCCACCATAAAATTCAGTTTCTTGAACTGGAAGATTAATGTTGGGACCAAATATAAAACCCATAGTAGAGCTCAAGAATACTACTTATAGCACTCAAGACTAAAGGAGCTTTTTTTTTTTTTTGAATCACTAAAATATAGTTGTATTTTATCCTGAATTACATTGCTTTAGGCTGAGTTTTAGTAATTATTTATGGTTTGAAATTACTTTTGGGGCAGCTTTCGTAAATAGTAAATCTCATACAAAATGTTTGTGAATTACCATTTTGAGAAATTTGAGGATTCTCTAGTTAACCCACTACATCAGATAAATTTAATACTTTAAGGTGGCTATTAGAATAGTCATCCTCTAATTTATTCAGTGCCACTCTTCCAAAAAGTTGTATAGTCCTCCCCCACATATCTTATAAAATGGATTTCAGTCTAGCTAGTTTAAGCTGTGCCATCACTGATAACATTAGGTGTGCCAGCCATTATGGCCGAAGTTTCTTTACCAAGTGATGCTGCATGGAATAGCTAATTGTCAAACTTCTGCAGAAGTTGGATAACAGCTGAGATATACTCTTGTATCACAGACTCCAGTGAAAAGCAAGAGAGTTTTTTTTTCCGCTTGGCTGCCAATCGCTGTGCTTCTGATTCCTGTTTTCCCTTCTATTTCCGTATTGAATTGAACATAGAGGTCAATATTTCCTCCTTTTTTTTCCCCCCTCCTCCACCTCTTCCCTTTATCAACTTTAGGTTTTCAGCATGTTTTTGGAGACTCTAGTAGATTTCATACAAGTCCACAAAGATGATCTTCAGGATTGGCTGTTTGTACTGCTGACACAGCTGCTGAAAAAAATGGGTGCCGATTTGCTTGGGTCTGTTCAGGCAAAAGTTCAGAAAGCCCTAGATGTTACCAGGTAATATTTTACATAATACATTTCAAGTTACCCTGCTAATTAGGAATATTTAATTCCTATGCTTAAAAACTCATATTTCTGAGTCCTTTCAAACAAGTTTTTGTTTGTGTTTGTCTGTTTTGTGTTTTGGCAGTATTGAGTATTGACACCAGGGCCTTGTACATTAGAGGTAACTGCTCTGCCACTTGAGCTATACTCCCAACCATTTTGGGTTTTTTGGGGGTTTTTTGTTTGTTTTTTCCAGTCATGGGGTGTGAAATCAGGGCCTGAGCACCGTCCCTGGGCTCTTCAGCTCAAGGCCAGCGCTCTACCACTTGAGCCACAGAGCCACTTCTGGTTTTCTGGTGGTTTTATTAGAGATAAGAGTCTCAGGGACTTTTCCCTCATGGACTGGCTTTGAACAGCGATCCTCAGATCTTAGCCTCCTGAGTAGCTTCGATTACAGGAATGAGCCACAGGCGCCTGCTAACCATTTTGTTTTTGAGATAGTCTCATTGTTAGCTTTGTCCAGGCTGGCCTTAAGAAGCTGTGATTGCAGGTATACACCACTACCTGGCTTCTTTCAAACAGATTGCATGGGCCCCATCTCAAAGTCATTAATTTTGCCTGTGCACGCTGTACATATAATATAGCATTATTTCTTTGATCTAACCCTCTATTTCTTTTATAAAAAAATTTATTGATTTGAGTAATTCAAGACTGGCATTTTATTTTGGGTCCAGGTGTGATGGTGCACAGTTATAATCTCAGCCCTCTTCTGACAGACAGAGGCAGAAGGATCATGAGTTCAGAACCCATCTAGACTACACAGTGAGACCTCATCCCAGAAAGTGGGCTTAAGTGTGTATCTACAGTTGTACCTTGGCCCTTTAGCTGAGATCAGCTTAATGTCTATCTGCAAAGTAGGATTGAAGATTAATTGGATCTAATGCAAAAATAGAAAGGTTTCCCAAATTTTAAAAGCATGCTTTGTATTACAATTAAATATTCAAAAGTCTCTTTTCAGAAGATTTGGAACTCGATATAGTTATACCTTTTTGCATAAATTAAAAGCGACTCATTTCAAATATCTATAAACTAAGCAGATTTTAGGGAAATAATGTCTGAGAATATTGAACTTTTTACTGAATATATTTTTCTGATTAAATGTATACTATCTTGCCTCAAGTATCCAGATTGTTTTTGGTATGGTATTTTTTCTTAACCCTTTGGCTGAGTATAATTTGTATATTTATATCTGAGAATGCTTTTATTGTATACCATACCATATACTACATAGAGATATTTGTTACTAATCATAGTTTCTTAAATGTAGACTTACCAACTTAATTTTTTGTACTGTTTGACTTTGTTCTTATTTCAGAGAATCTTTTCCAAATGACCTTCAATTTAATATTCTAATGAGATTTACGGTTGATCAGACCCAGACACCAAGCTTAAAGGTAAAAAATTAATGTCTTAAAGACACTATGATTAGTTGAAGTATTTTATTAGTAAAACAATGTTAGAATTTGTTTTTCTGTCACATGTAGAAGCTGTTCAATCAGTGGGTTTTGTTTTTATAAAATTTCAGACAGTCAAGCCAGCACTTCGGGACCAGATTCACTGTTTTTGGAGCTCTAAGGTTTTTTGTTTTTGTTTTAAACTGCATTATTTCTTAACTATCCCTGCAGTGCCTCAGATAATGTTTGTATGCCTCTATACTCAACTACTAACCTCTGTAAGCCTCTTATTATGCATGTATAAATTTGATTTCAAAAGTTGTCCAAATGCCCAGTTATCCTTTGGAGAAGCTTACTGGGATATGTATGTAGGAGGCATCACACATATGGCCATCTAACCTTAGCTGGTAATGCAAAATCGCTTTATAAATTCTTACCTTATTTTATGTTTGTCATTTCCCCATACTTTTTTTTCTTAGCTGTAATCTTAGGAATTTTAGTAGTTACTTTAAGCTGAATTATCAGTTTTGCCAGTGTCCTCATTTTAGTACACAAAAAATTTAATTTCAGTGCTGTTCAACAGTTCTCTTTAACTGAAATAGTAACTTCTTCTGTAGTGTAATTTTTCTCTGAAATGTGCATAAAATTGTAATCAGGAATAACAAGCTTTTTTTTTTGGCTTTTTTTGGTCAGTCGTGGGGCTTGAACTCTGGGCCTGGGCACTGTCCCTGCGCTCTTCAGCTTAAGGCAAGCACTCTACCACTTGAACCACAGTTTTCTAGTGGTTTATTGGAGATAAGAGTCTCATAGATGTTCCTGCCTGGGCTGGCTTTGAACTGCGATCCTCAGATCTCAGCCTCCTGAGTAGCTAGGATTGCAGACATGAGCCACCGGCGCCCCGCAGAAATAACTTGTTTTTATTTGCACACATTTTCAGTTCTGTGGAAACTAGATGGATTCCAATCTATGATTGTAATGATTAAATTTAACATAAAAGATTTAAAAAACTATAATATTAAAGCTAAGCCACTGAATTCTTTACTATTTTTTTTCATGAGCTGTATCTAAGGAGATTAAAGTCAGGGAAATAACAAGCATATGTATCTTGTATTTTTCGCTCTATTCTGCACGAAATGTATTTCCACAAGTATTACTGCTCAATTGGTTTTTCTCTTAAGTTTCTGAATATGATGTGCCTCAAAAATCACAAATTATATGTTTTTTACCTTGGGGTTGACTTACAGTCAACATAAAGTTACTTTCTCGGAACTACTTTATCAAAGGGGTCCCATCTGTTTTTATTTTTAAAAGTTAATATCTTACTTGATAATACTGATGATTTTTAATTCATTTTATGTCCAAGTCCTTGTGTTAGACATTCATTGGAATATAAAATGTATTACCATTTTCTATACAACATATTAAATTAGAAATTCTAAAGAGTATGATATGGACATCTCTGATAGATACTAAAGTGCTGTCAACAATGTACATAGAAATTATTATGGACCAGTGAAAATAAGTCAGATTCAGAAGTAAGAGTGAAAGGCAAAATTGCATTGCTGAAAACTTGAGGAGAAACAGAATGAAAGGGAATAATGTAGGAAGCAGACAAGCTAGAGTTAACTCCCTGTTAGAAAAACAAAAACATTGTACTAGAAGCGCAGATAATTTCCTTAAAAGCCTAAGGCATTTATGTATAAATATATACTTAATATAGGAATAAAAACAATAGCAAAGACATAAGGAAAAATCTCTTAAACTGATATTTTAGAATAGTACACATATTGAAACTGTACCTCATGCCAGTAATTTGAATTGGACTATAAGACCTTTAAGAAAACCTATTGATAAAAATCATTGATCTTTTGGATAAAGACAGTTGATATTTGTATAAACATTTACATCTTCTATGGTTTGTCATATGGTAAACATCCAATCAAAAAGAAGCCAGATGTTGGTGATACATACCTGTAATCTCAGCACTCAGAAGGCTGAGGCAAGTAAACCTCAGGTTCAAGGCCCACCTGGGCTACATAGGGAAACCTGTCTCAAAAAGCAGGTATAGGCTGGGGATGTGGCTTAGTGGTAGAGTGCCTGCCTAGCATGCTTGAAGCCCTGGGTTTGATTCCTTAGTACCACATAAACAGAAAAGGCCAGAAGTGGCATGTGGCTCAAGTGTAGTGTGCTAGCCTTGAGCAAAAGAAGCTCAGGGACAGTGCCCAAGCCCTGAATTCAAGCCCCAGGACTGGCAAAAAATAAAATACAAGCCAGGCGCTGGTGGCTCACACCTATAATCCAGCTACTCAGAAGGCTGAGATCTGAGGGTCGAGGTTCAAAGCCAGCCCAAACAGGAAAGTCTGAGACTCATTTCCGGAAGTGGCACTGTGGTAGAGCGCTCACCTTGAGCTAAGGATCTGAGGGCCAGTCTCCCAGGCCCAGAGTTCAAGCCCCAGGACCAACAACAACAAAAACGAAAAAAAAAAACATGTATATTGATGCTCATTTATTGGTTCAGGATAGTTACTCATCTTTAGCTATTTATACTAATAGATGGTAGTAGTGCCTCAGAATATTTCATACTACTGTGATTTATATTACAGTTGGGCCATATGCTGTAAAACTACCCAGATGTCTCTTCCCCTATCTACTACACAATTCTGATGGCTAAAAGGTTAACTCTAGGTATTGATGACACATTTCTTCAAAATTATAAATATTAAGTTTTTAATCGACAAGTTTAAAACTATGAATTTATTCTGTACAGCATATATTGCTACATATATTCATTGAAGAATGGCTAACTCAAGTTATTTACATTTATACTTACATATGCTACATATATTCATTGAAGAATGGCTAACTCAAGTTATTTGCATTTATACTTCATATACTTATATGGTGGTGAATTACTGAAATTCACTGTTAGCAGTTTTTAAATTTGCAGATATAGATAGCTATTAACTACAGACTGTCATGTCCAGTTGATCTCTTAAAGTTAGTCTTCCTAACAGAAATTTCCTGTCCTTCAAGCAGTGTCTTATAATTCCCCAGCCTCTGATAACCACTACTTTACTCTTTTTTTTCTTTTCTTTTCTTTTTTTCCCCATCAGCTAGATCTCACAATCCTTCTACCTCAGTGTCCCAAATTCTGGGACATACACTGGCATACTTGGTTTCCCTTCTTCCTTTAAGAAATAGTTTGTTCCTTGTCATATTACACATATAAATGAGATGGTACAACATTTTTCTTACTTTCCCTGGCTAATTTCACTTAATATATTGTCTTCTGGCTTTATCCATATTGTCACAAATATCAAGATTTCCTTTTTTAAGGCTAGTAGTATTTTTGCTATATTCACATTTACTTTATCCTTTCAACCATCAGTAAACACCTAAGTTGATTCCACATGTTGGCTATTACAGTATGCTGCCATGAACATATCTCTTCAACATACTGATTTTCTTTTTTTTCTTTTTCTTTTTTTTGGGGGGGGGGGGAGTCCGGTCATGGGGCCTGAAATCTGGGCTTGGGCGCTGTCCCTCAGCTCTTCAGCTCAAGGCTAGCTCTCTACCACTTGAGCCACAGCACCACTTCCGGCTTTTTTCTTTTTGCTTATGTGGTGCTGAGAAATGGAACCCAGGGCCTCAGGCATGCAAGGCAAGCGCTCCACCACTGAGCCACCTTCCCAGCCCCCTTTTTTTTTTTTTAATTTTCTTCAATACTAGGGATTGAACTAAGGGTCTCTTGCTTGCTAGACAGGCAGTCTATCACTTGAGCCACACCCCCAGACCTTTTTTTTTTTGCTTCAGTATTAAGAGCCTCAGACTTTCACACATATCTCAGACTATGATCCTTTTACTTATAGCCTCCCACAAGGCAGGATCACAAGTACATACCACTATGACAGGCTTATTAGTTGAGATGGAATCTAGTTGACTTTTTTCAGACCTGGCCTTAAACTACAATCCTGTCAGTCTCCATCTTCCAAGTGTGAGCCACTGTGCCTGACTTCTAAGAAGTGATCATTTCTTAGTCTGTTTGTTTACTTTCAACTTGAGTTCCTTATGTGTTTTTTATGGTTTTCCTTATCACATGTATTATTTGCAAGTATGTCTTCCTTTATGTAGGTTGTCTCCTTACATTGTTTGCTTTGTTGTTGTGCAGAAACTTTTATGGTATGCAACGTAATTTTTTTTTTCTAGTCCTGGTCTGGAACTCTGGGCCTGGGTGTTATTGCTGGGCTCCTTTTGCTCAAGGCTAGCACTCTACCACTTGAGCCACAGCACCACTTCTGGCTTTTTCTGTGATTAATTGAAGACTGTCACAGACTTTTCTGCCCAACCTGGCTTTGAGCCACAGGTGATCCTCAGATCTCAGCCTCCTGAGTAGTTAGAATTACAAGTAGGAGTCACCAGTGCCTGGCAACATGATTGTTTTAATTGGATATATTCTCATTGGTTTGGATCTTTTGCCTATAAAATTATGAATACTTCTTAATATTCATTCATTATGTGAAACAATATAATATGATTACTGTCTTGATGCTGTTGTTGCTAGAAGCAGAGTCAACTTATTTTAATACTTTGCTCCATATTTATCTACTTCGCTTCCTACTCATCAGCTTCCTAGAGATCTTATTTGGCCTGAGTGAGAACAATGACAGCAAAAAGAAAGAACATACACTTACATTAACTTTGGGCAATACCTGTTCGAGTTGCTGTTTTAATCTGATATTTAAACTTTCCCTTTAAAAAAAATGGCAACCCAGCACTTAATATGTGTATAGTATCTTCTGACTCCTAGGGCTGTGAACTGGGCCAGGTGTAGTTGCTGAAGTGCACAGGTCCAGCCTGGGACTGCAACATAAGTTGTAGTCTTTGAACATCACTAGTGATTGAGAGGAGCCTGGGAGATGTGGATCACATATAAGAGCTCTAATGCACTGCATGTGATTAGTACTATCTTATTCAAGAGTTGCTAACAGCTGCTTATAGGTATGCTTGCCACACACACACACATAAAAGCAAAGGGTTAAGAGTGAATTTGTTCATTTGCTTGATTGTAATAACTTTCACTCTGTGTACATACATATATTAAAATATCATGCTGTACATTTTAAATATGTGCAAATAACAAAACTTCCTTTAAATCAATCAAATAGGAGATTTTAAGTGTTAACACCAAAAAATTAAGTTTGTGAGCTAGTGCACATGTCAGTTAGCTCAGTTTAGCCATCTGATAATGTGTATATACTTTAAAACATCCTATTTTACACCCTAAATTTATACAATTTTTATTTTTCAGTTAAGAGGATAAATTAGCTGGGGATGTAGCTCAGTGGCAAATTGCTTGCCTAGCATGTGCAGAGCCCTGGGTTCCATCCCCAACCATAGGGGGGAAAGTAACTTTTTCAAAAATAAAATACACATATAAAATTTGAGAACCACTTCTGGAAACTAAAATATTGGAGTATTTTTAGTTTTTTTTTCCCCCTAGCATGAGAAAGGATAGAACTTAATAGTAGCTTACAAAAAAAAAAAAGGATTAAAAAGGGGGGGGGGACTGTCTAGGAAGAGGCATGTTTGTTTTAGGACTAGCTCCATCTCCTGCTGGTTTGAAACCCTCTGCCACCCCATGCCCTCACACATCAAGCTTTATTGGAAGAATAATGAGGCTTTTTGTACAAATATGTGTTTACTTTTTTCATCCAAATAGGAATTTTCCTTTTTTGTTTAGGTTTGGTTTTTTTGTTTGTTTGTTTGCCAGTCCTGGGGCTTGAATTCAGGGCCTGAGCACTGTCCCTTAGCTGCTTTTGCTCAAGACCAGTGCTCTACCACTGGAGCCACAGCACCACTTCCAGCCTTTTCTGTTTATGTGGTGCTGAGGACTTGAACCCAGGGCTTCATGCATGCTGCTCTCAAGCGCTCTACCACTAAGCTACCTTCCCAGCCCAGATTATCTTTGCTTTAGTGGCACTTGTATAAACATTTTTGTGAAACTTCTCACAGTTGATGGACCTATTAAAGGTTGATTTCATGTTGTGAGACTTACCTAGTATTTAAAAAGAAAAAAAATCACTTTATATTGCCCATCATGATTACAGGTTTATTGATTATTTTCATATACTTTGATTTACTTCCCCCAATATGAAATCACTAAGTGATCAAGACTGGTTCCCTCTAAGGCTAGCTGAAAGTCTGCTATACAGTCTGAAGGCAGACTCAAGGAATCTTCAGCAGTTGTTCATACTTGAAGAATGAAATGCCTGGGACCTAAGCCCTAATACATGTGAAAGCAGAAGCCCATCGCCAGTAGATAAGTGTGTATATAATTTTTGATGATGTTGAAATTGTTGCTCATTTTCAACTTGTCAAAATATAATCATGTAATTAGTTCCGCAGTGTTCTCCAGTGTTTCACAATGAACATCTTTCCTGTTCTCTCTCATTGTGCTTACCTCTGCAGGTGAAGGTTGCTATTCTTAAATACATAGAAACTCTGGCCAAACAGATGGATCCAGGCGATTTTATAAATTCCAGTGAAACTCGACTGGCAGTGTCTCGGGTTATCACTTGGACCACAGAACCCAAAAGCTCTGATGTTCGGAAGGTGTGTTTTAATATGAGGTTTAGAAGATAAATTGGAAAGGCAAGTCAGTAGTTTTGGATTGCCAGTGAAGGTAGCTATTAGCCATTATTTACTAGTCTGTTGATAAACATAGGCATTTTATTTATCTCTGTTGGTAAGTAAGGACTTTCTATCATTGAAGATCAGCAGAAAAAATTGACATTTGGTCATGCAGGTAGTCAATCCTTTATCAAACTACTATATCTACCTATCCGTCTATCTACACGTGTGTGTGTGTCTGTGTGTGTGTGTGTCTGTGTGTGTGTGTGTAAACACATTCCTACATCAAGCTACTGCCTCTCTTATAGAAGCTACATTTGTCTGTCTTGGAGTAAATTATGTATCTTGTTTTTCAGTTGCCTGAGCTTTTGAAAAAGAAATTGTTAAATATCTGTTAATATTTTAGCATCTCTGCCATATATATGACTTATATTTTCCATATGCTCAAAAACATAGAAATTTTCTAGAAAGTTCCTTCCTAGACCCTCTTTCGTTATCACCTATTTATACAGAATTTCTCCTAACCCTGCTTATACAGATATCTTCCTTCAATTCAACATTTTCCCAAGACTTCTGGTCAATTCTTATCATTCATTTCTTATATCTACTTCTATTTATTCTTCTGTAGTAAATCATTTTTTTACTATTTGCTCCAACATCACCCAGAATATAAATCTGTGATCTTTATTTATAGTGATAAATAAGAGCAAGCGTACACAATTTTCTCAAGTATGGATGGATGAAGCATTCTGCATACTAGTAATGAAATAAGCCTCAGTAGTTTTAAGCAATAGAAACAACACAACGTATGTTCCTAGACCACAGTGGAATGAAATTAGAAGTCAGTAACAAAAAGAAATTTGGAAAATTAATGAATATATGAAATTTTAACTGCTCAATCCTAAATAATCAGTTGGTCAAAAAAGACATGAAAGAAAAATTAGAAAATGCTTTGAGAAGAATGAAAATGAGACATTATCTAGGAAAAATTATACTTATTACCTGACTTATGGAATTGTAATCCCTTTGTTCAATACCTTAATAGTAACAATAAAATTATATTTTTTAAAAATGAGGTCTTGACATACAAAAATGAAGCAGTGGATTGAGGGAGTTTTATCACTAACTTCATGCTTAAAATAAAATGAAGATCTTAATACCCTAATATACCACTTTAAGATACTGGATAAAGAAGTACAAAGCAAACCCAAAGCAACACTAAAGCTTGTTCTTTAGAAAATCAAGAAATTTGACACTTGAATACTGGTGGTTCATGCCTGTAATCCTAATTATTCAAGAAGTTGAGCCAGGCAATGGTGCCTCATACCTGTAATCCTAGCTATTCAAGAGGCTGAGATCTGAGGATTGTGGCTCAAAACCAGCACAGGCAGGAAAGTCTGTGAGACTATCACCAATAAACTACTCAAAAAAAGCCGGAAGTAACACTGTGGCTGAAGTAGTAGAACACTAGCCTTGAGCACAGAGAGCTCAGGAACAGTGTCAGGCCCAGTTCAAGCCCTAAGAGCAGCAAAAATAGAAGAAGAAGCTGAGATGAAATCAGTTGGAAAATAGCATAGGCAAAAAAGTCCCCAATAAATTAACAAAAATGAAGAGAAGAAAACTGACAAATATTTACTAGATTAGTCAAGAGAAAACAAAAAAAAATGCCATTTCTAATGAATGATAATGATCTAATTGATAATTTTAATGATAAGTGATATGACAAATATGTACTGTTAAAATCTAAAAATAAATTTTATATAATAGAATAGAGTGTAAAGGGCAGCTTTGATATTTAAAGGAACCTAAGTTGTCATGCACTATAGTGGAAAACCACTAGAGAATATCTCAAGCTGATAAAGTGTATAAGACTAGAGGCATGACTTAAGGGGTGCCTGATTAGCAAGAGAAAATTCTAGTCCTGACCAAAAAGGAAAATAATAATGTGTCAACCTATGAGTATCTAATCTTCAGAAAGGAAAGAAAATGAAGTGAGAAACTGGAGAACTAAAACATTGAGACTGAGAAACACAAAACCTTTTCTTTAATTTTGGTGCTTTTTGTTATTCATATATATTACTGTGACTTAAAATGAATTTTTATGTTAATTATAAAATTCATGTGGTAGAACAAATTTGACAAAAAGCATTAATAAAAAACTCAAGGGGCTGGGAAGGGGACTCAGTGGTAGAATGCTTGCCTTGCATGCATGAGGCCCTTGGTTCGATTCCTCAGCACCACAGAAACAGAAAAGGCCGGAAGTGGTGCTATGGTTCAAGTGGTAGAGTGCTATCCTTGAGAAGAAGACCTGAGGGACAGCACCCAGGCCCAGAGTTCAGACCCCACAGCCGACAAAAAGAAAGCTCAAAATACTAAAGCTATAGCAATTTATATCATATGATGTTAAATTAGAAACAAATAAGTCAATGAAACATTGAGGGCCAGAAACACTTACATCTACATGGAAGAGTCATGCATAAGGGTATCACTTCAAATCAAAAGAAAAGTATATACTTACTAGTAAATGGTTTGTATATCTGTGAGGGGACAACAGAAGCTTAATCTGTAAGCCAAAATAAACACTAGGTGAAGCAAACTATATTTTAACAACCATTAGTTAATTTGCTTAAGGTAATTTGAGATCCTTTCATTGTTGTAATTCTCACAGTATCATGAATTTTCATTTTTTTCATTTTTTTTTTTTTGGGTCCGGTGGTGGGGCCTGAACTCTGGGCCTGGGCGCTGTCCCTCAGCTCTTCAGCTCAAGGCTAGCGCTCTACCACTTGAACCACAGCGCCACTTCTGGCTTTTTTCTTTTTGCTTATGTGGTGCTGAGGAATCGAACCCAGGGCCTCATGCATGCAAGGCAAGCCCTCTACCATTGAGCCACCTTCCCAGCCCCTCGATTTTTTTTAATTTTTTATAGTTTCATTTTTTTATTTTACTTTGGAGCAATCCTTTAGGGAAAAAAAAAGCTTAACCATATAATTTTTTTTAAGTTTTTCTTTGTTGGTAATGGGGCTTGAACTCTGGTCCTGGGTGCTATCTCTCAGCTCTTCAGCTCAAATCAAGAACTCTACCACTTGAGCCACAGCATTCTGGTTTTCTGGTGATTAAGTGAAGGTAAGAGTTTCCTGCCCTGGCTGGCTTTGAATCATGATCCTCATATCTCAGCCTCCTGAGTAGCTAGGATTACAGACATGAGCCATTGGTGCCCCACTAAAAAAAAATACTTTTGATGTCCCAAAACATTTGTAAATTTTGATTTTTAAAATGCATTGGTAATATATACCCAAACAATGCATACTTTGTTTTTAATAAAAATAAATCTATGTTATACCATTTTCCCCTTTAGCAGCTTATTATATGCCTTTTTTTTTTCTTTTTTTCCTTTTTTGTTTTTTTTTTTTTTTTTTTTTTGTCTGTCTTGAGGCTTGCTCAGGGCCTGAGTATTGTCCCTGAGCTTTTACAATCAAGGTTAGTACTCTGCCACTTGAGCCCTAGCACTGCTTTTCGATTTCTGATGGTTAATTGGAGATAGAGAGTCTCACAGGCTGGGTGCTAATAACTCAAGCCTGTAATCCTAGCTACTCAGGAGGCAGAGATCTGAGGATTGAGATTCAAAGCCAGCCCTGGCAGGAAAGTCCCTGAGACACTCTTATCTCCAATTAAATACCAGAAAACTGGAAGTAGCCCTGTGGCTCAAAATGGTAGAACACTAGCCTTGAGCTGAAGAGCTCAGGGACAGCACCCAGGCCCAGAGTTCAAGCCCCACAACCAACAAAGAAAAAACAAATCTCACAGACTTCACTGCCTGGGCTGGCTTGGGACCACAATCCTTAGATCTAGCTCAACCTCCTAAGGAGCTAGGATTACCTGCATGAGCCACCATGGCAACTAGCCCTTTCTTAATTTATGCTTAAAAGCTACACTGTCTTCCAAGAATTTACTGTGTAATGCTCCTTTTTTTTTTTCAATATAATGATTCCATTGTTGTATAATAAGATATTATGAAGTCTGGCACCGTAGCTCACGCCTCTAGTCATAGCTACTCAGGAAGCTGAGATTTGAGGATCACAGTTCAAAGCCAGCCCAGGCAAGAAAGTCTGTGAAACTTTTTTTTTTGCTTTTTTCTTTTTTTTTTTGGGTCCAGTCGTGGAGCCTGAACTCTGGGCCTGGGAACTGTCCCTCAGCTCTTCGGCTCAAGGCTAGCGCTCTACCACTTGAGCCACAGTGCCACTTCCAGCTTTTTTTTCTTTATGCTTATGTGGTGCTGAGGAATCGAACCCAGGGCGTCAGGCATGCAAGGTAAGCGCTCTACCACTGAACCACCTTCCCAGCCCATCTGTGAGACTCTTATCTCCAATAAATCACCAGAAAACTGGAAGTGGCATTGTGGCTCAAGTGGTAGAGTGCTCGCCTTGAACCGAAGAGTGCAGGGAAAGCCCACATACTTTTGCTTTAGTTTTCCTAGCAAATGATTTATAAGGAGAAAAAAGATGGCTATATGAAACCTATCCAGAAGAAATTAATACTTTACTTTCTTTCTCAATATGCAATTCTTAAATTAGTATAAAATATCCAGTCTTCTCTCAAGCAGATGAACTAAAAAACATTGAGGGGCTGGGAAGGTGGCTCAATGGTAGAGCGCTTGCCTTGCATGCATGAGGCCCTGGGTTTGATTCCTCAGTATCACATAAGCAAAAAGAAAAAAGCCAGAAGTGGCACTAGCCTTGAGCTGAAGAGCTGAGGGACAGCGCCCAGGCTCAGAGTTTAAGCCCCACGACCGACAAAAAAAAAAAAAAAAAGATCATAGAAGTCTTAGGTTTTTGTAGAATGAAGTCCGAGAAAGTCCATTTGGATACAAATCATGTGAACACACACCATTTGACTCTCTTCTCTAAACTAAGTTGTAAAATCAATTTTTCTCTACCTTTTTTGTTCCCATTTCTAATAAAACATACTTTCACTAGCTTGAATGTATTTTGGGGGGGGGGGGTCACGTCGTGGGGCCCGAACTCTGGGTCTGGGCACTGTCCCTCAGCTCTTCAGCTCAAGGCTAGCGCTCTCCTGCTTGAGCCACGGCGTCACTTCCGGCTTTTTTCTTTTTGCTTATGAGATGCTGAGGAATCAAACCCAGGACCTCATGCATGCAAGGCAAGCGCTCTACCACTGAGTCACCTTCCCAGCCCCTCAATGTATTTTTTTAGTTCATCTGTTTGAGAGAAGACTGGATATTCTACACTAACTTAAGAATTGCATATTGAGAAAGAAAATAAAGTATTAATTTCTTCTGGATAGGTTTCATATAGCCATCTTTTTTCTCCTTATAAATCATTTGCTAGGAAAACTAAAGTAAAAGTATGTATTGACAAAAAAAAAAATGGAAAGTGTTTGTTTAACTTTAATCATTTAACTTTAATCATTAACTTTAATCACTTTTTTTTTTTTTTTGACTGTCATGAGGCTTGAACTCTGGCCCTGGGCACTGTCCCTCAGTTCTTGAGCTCAAAGCAAATGCTCTACCACTTGAGCCACAGTGCCACTTCCAGTTTTCTGGTAGTTTATTGGAGATAAGAGTCTCACAGAGTTTCCTGCCTGAGCTGGCTTTGAATCTTGATCCTCAGATCTCAGCCTCCTGAGTAGCTAGGATTATAGGCATGAACCACCAGTGCCTGGCCTGTAACACATTTTGAACATAGTTCAAAAAATGTGATGATCCTTTTCTGGTTCATAAGCGTGATTAGTGAGTTCTGACGAGCTTGCATGACATGTGCCTCCCTCTAAGTCTTGTTACGATCTGAGCACATGACCCATCTCAAATGGGGGGAAAAAGTGGTGGCTTTGCAAGCATAGCTCAGGTGTTAGAGTGCCTTCTTAGCAAGCGTGAGGCCCTGGTTTCAAGCCCTGCTACTGCGACGCAAATGAGTGAAATATAGGAATATATATATACATATATATATATATGTACTTAAAAAATAAGTATGAAAGCAAAAGCAAATAAAAATATGCCAGTTACTGGTGACTCATGCCTGTAATCCTACTGACTCTGGAGGCTGAGTTCTGAGGATGTAGTTCAAAGTCCTGGGCAGGAAAGGCTAGGAGATTTCTTTTTTCTTTTTTTTAAATACTTCTTTATTGTAAAAATAATGTACAGAGGGGTTACAGTTACATGAGCAAAGTAATGAGTACATTTCCTATCAAGCATTGTTACCTCCTCCTTTGTTTTTCCCCTACCATCCCTTCCATCGCACAACTATACTCCCCCCTCAGTCCCCCCACCTAAATTGTAAAGTTTGTTTTTCAACATAGTGTTTTGTATATCTCATTGTTACAATGGGTCAACCTGTATCCCTATTTAAACATTTTGTTTTTTCCCTTCCTCTCCCCAAATTAGAGAAGTATATATGCAAGATGCAGGGCACCGACATCAAATACAGTGAAAACAGGGGATATACCATGGGGGAGCAACATACAAAAAAAAACAGTAAAAGCACGTGGTACATTATAAATACATTAGGAACAATATCAAGAAAGAAAAAACTACTTATGTCCCTATCTTGGGGTTCATTTCACTTAGCATCATCTTATCTGGTCATATATACATAGCTTTTGACCTTTTCTGCTTGTCCCAGACATATACTAGTTATTGCAAATAAGGGAAACCATAGGACCTATGTTTCTTTGGGCCTGGCTTACTTCACTTAATATAATGTTTTCCAAGTCTTTCCATTTCCTAACAAATAGGGCGATATCATTCTTTCTGATGGAGGCATAGAATTCGTGTGTGTGTGTGTGTGTGTGTGTGTGTGTGTGTGTGTGTGTGTGTGTGTGTGTGTGTGTGTGTGTGTGTGTGTGTGTAACACATTTTCTTGATCCATTCATCTCCTAAGGGGCATCTGGGTTGGTTCCATATCTTAGCTATGGTAAATAATGCTGCAGTAAACATAGTTGTGCTGGTGGCTTTAGTATGGTCTTGTTTGTGATCATTTGGGTAAATGTCCAAAAGTGGGATTGCTGGGTCATAGGAAGCTTCTTATCTCCAGTGAAGTCAAGCTGTGACTTAAGTGGTAGAGTTCTAGCCTTGAGCAAAAAAGCTCAAGGATAACACCTAGAACCTGAGTTAAAGCCCCAGGGTAGAACAAATAAATAAATATATCTTCCTTTTTGTTGAAAATAAGGTCAAGCTTTTTGTTTGACTATCATAGAAAGAAATGTGAGACAAGATAATGATCACCTATGAGTAATCAAAATACATTCATCTTCTTTTTTTTCTTATGCTTTTATTTTTTAGGCAGCACAATCAGTGCTGATTTCTTTATTTGAACTTAATACCCCAGAGTTTACAATGTTATTAGGAGCTTTACCAAAAACTTTTCAAGATGGTGCTACCAAACTTCTTCATAATCACCTTCGAAATGCTGGCAATGGAACGCAGGTATTTATTTCTTGGTTATAGGATGATAGTATAGTTGACTTAACAATAATTGCTTTATTTTATATAAAGCAAACTGATCCTAGTATATAATTGGGCACATGCATTTAGCAGCATTTCCTGGCAGACATAAATAGTATCGGAGAAAACTATCCATTAAGCCTTTCTTGTTTGTATTAAAATTTGTGTATGTAAGGTCGTGGTAAACAGTGATCAGGGTATGAATAGGAAAATCACATGTGAGCAGAATACAGATGAGGTCCTAGCTTTGGAAGCCTTTAGAACATTGGGATATACTCTCAAGATGAAGCAATTCTTTTTTTTTTTTTTTTTTTTTTGGCTGGGGGTGGGGAGTCAGTCATGGGGCCTAAACTCTGGGCCTAGGCACTGTCCCTCAGCTCTGCAGCTCAAGGCTAGCACCCTACCACTTGAGCAGCACCACTTCCGGCTTTTTCTGCTTATGTGGTACTCAGAAATCTAGCCCAGGGCCTCTGCATTCAAGGTAAGCACTTTACCACTGAGCCAACTTCCCAGCCCATGAAGCAATTCTTCTTTGAATATTAGCAAGGATGATTCATTCAGGGCTAACAAAGTTCTAAGTAGGTATCATTAAGTGATTATAGGCTTATCAATCCATGTGTACATGAATACATAGGACTTTGTTCTGAGAAATTTAAGGTCTGAGAAAGTGAAGCATTATAAAGATGTGTGTAATTTACATACTATACATAAAGAATTGGCTGAAGTTTTAAAAAGAGAGACCTTTAATAACAGGTAAAGGAGAATGTAGTTGCAATTGATGTGATAGGGTTATGGTAACGTTTGATAGTTAAAAGTAACCTGAGAATAATTTCTTGAGAAACAAAACCACATTTCATTTTAAAACAAGAGTACCAAGTATAAGGCCCTTGAGTTCAAACTCTAGGTATACGAAAGAATTTTTTTAATGAATAAAGAAAAGAAGAGGTGTGGGAAGGTGGCTTAGTGGCAGAGTGCTTGCCTTGCATACATGAGGCCCTGGATTCGATTCCTCAGCACCAATAAGCAGAAAAAGCCAGAAGTAGCTCTGTGGCTCGAATGGTAGAGTGCTAACCTTGAGTTGAAGAGCTGAGGGATAGTGCCCAGGCCCAGACTTCAGGCCCACAACCGCCAAGAAAGAAAGAAAAGAAGAAGTGTTGATTCATTATGTCTTTAGAAGTAGACAATATAACATGGTCAATTTTACTTTGTGTCTTTTTGAAAAACCTTTGTAGACTCAGAAAGAATAAAATTTGGTTATTAGTAGTGGTTAAAAGAAGACAGTTGAAGCTGGGCACCAGTGGCTCATGCCTGTAATCCTAGCTCCTCAGGAGGCTGAGATCTGAGGATCATAGTTCAAAGCCAGCCTGGGCAGGAAACTCCATGAGCATCTTATCTCCAATTACCACCAGAAAACCAGAAGTGGCGCTATGGCTCAAGCAGTAGAGCACTCACCTCGAACTGAAGAGCTCAGGGACAGGTCCCAGGCCCAGAGTTCAAGCCCCTCGACTGGCCAAAAGAAAAAAAAAAAAAATTGACTAAGACAGGAAAATTACTTAAAATTTTTAGTTTAGGATTCTGTTGATACCCAAGAGAATGTATGTTAATATTTGAGAGAAAGAAGCAGGTATAAAGAGAAAAGGTTCAAAGTATTAATTTTAAAATAGACATTTTTCTACCCTAAAATCAGACATAAATACTTGGGTATTTAAAGCATTAGCCTATTATAATATTGACTTATTCATATGGTTTTATATCATGACTGTATAGCATCCCTAAGAGCCTGGCTTGTCATATGTTAATATGTACTTGACTTTTTCCATCAGAGTTCCATGGGAAGTCCTTTGACAAGACCAACACCTCGATCACCAGCCAACTGGTCCAGTCCTCTTACATCTCCTACCAATACATCACAGAACACTTTATCTCCAAGGTAACAGAAGGATAATTTGCAGCTGTGTGCTGCTGTTCCATGCCTGTAATCGTACTCAGGATGCTGAGATATGAGGATCAAGATTTGTAGGCAGCCCAAGCAGACTAAGTGACTCATATCCAATTAGCCAGCAAAAAGCCAGAAGAGGTATAGCCCAAGTGATAAGCATGCCAACCTTGAGTGAAAAAGCTAATAAGCAAGAGCTCTTGTCTCTTTGAGTTCTAACACCAGAACCTTAACACACACAAAAAAGAATTTTCAATCATGTTTTATGTTTACCTGTTCTAGAAAGGAATATGTTGATGTAATGCCAGTCACTTTCCACTTGACTTAAAGGTCTTAGAAAGTTAGAAGTGCCAACAATTTTAAGGGTATTCCAAAGGCAACCCTTTAAATGAATAATATAGGATATGGATGTTTTTGAAGGGATAAGGAGCTGAAACAGCTTCTGTTTTCTTAAATTACATAGTTCTATTTCCAGAATGGTATGTAATCTAATAATTTATAAATTGTGTCATTTATATCATAATGCTCAATTTAAATGATAAGGTCAATTTTGATGGATATTTAGATCTAATATTGACCTAAGGCCTCTAAAAGTTGATGAGTGGCAAGTAAGCTTATATGCAAAGTATTAAAACAGGGAAGAATGGGGCAGGGTAAAATATATAATGAATATATCATTGTATGATATATACATACTTCTGAGGAAAAAAAACTTACTGGAAGATTGGTCTTTAATACAAAATGTGAGAGAGATAGTTATGAGAAATATAAACTATATTTAAGATTTAAGTTCAGGAATAACTAATAGATGAATATCTTCTCCTGGCCTCTTGAGAAATGATTGCATATTAACCTCATATTTATTATTAATGAGTTTGATTTTTGTTCTTACTCATACACCATTAAAATTACAAGATATAGCCAGGCACCAGTGGCTCACTTCTCTAATCCTATCTACTCAGGAGGCTGAGACCTGAGGATCTTGGCTCAAAGCCAGTCTTGGCAAAAAAGTCTATGAGACACTTAACTGGAGATTCCAGTTAAGCATCAAAAAAGCCCAAAATAGTGCTAACCTTAAGCACAAAAGTTCAGGGACACTCCCAGGCCCTGAGTTCAGGTTCCATGACTGGCACAAAAAAGTAATAATAATTTAGGGGATGACATATAACTGTCCAAGAAAGAAAAATATATTAAAAACTTAGCCAGGTACCAATGGGTCACACCTGTAATCCTAGCTTCAGGAGACTGAGATCTGAGAATAGCAGTTTGAAGCCAACCCAGGAAGACAAATCCAAGAAACTCAAATACCCAACAAAATGCTAGCAGTAGAAATATGGTTCAAGTGGTACAACTCCAACCTTGAACAAAAAGAGAAGCAAGAATATAAGGCCTTGAGGTCAAGCCCAATACTGGTACCAAAAAAGTATATATATATATATATATATATATATAATTATTGTCGGGGCTGGGAATGTGGCTTAATGGTAGAGTGTTGCCTAGCATGCATGAAGCCCTGGGTTTGATTCCTCAATTCTACATAAACAGAAAAATCTGGAAGTGGTGCTGTGGCTTAAGTGATAGAGTGCTAGCCTTGAGCAAAAGAAGCTCAGGGACAGTGCCTAGGCTCTTGAGTTCAAGCCCCATAAATTATTATTATTGTCTAGGTTATGTGTTATATATACGTGATAATTCTGGTGGTAAAATTGTAGCCTTAGTTGAACTTCAAATTTTGATTATAGAATTCATTTCATTAATATTTTTGTTGTGTTAAAAATTTTCTGCTTTCTTGCAAGTTTGTTTAAATACATCAATTCCTCTTCTACCATTATTGAGTTAATCATGGGATCATCAAACTTTCGATAAAGGTCAAACTGGCTTTTCAGCCAGGTGGTCTTCGTAGTCATTACTTAACTGTACTGTTGTGGTTTGAAAACATTCACAGGCAATAAATAAGCATGACTGTGATCTGAAAAAAGCCTGATTTATAGTGAGATTCAGATATCTTTATAATTTTCATATTCATTTGCTTTTTCAGCCATTTAAAACTATAATAAACATTCTTAGCTTTCAGTTCATCTATAGCTTACTGACCTCCGGTTAATCAGAACTTTTTGTTGGTGGTGGAGTGCTTCCCTTGTGCTGAAGAGCTGAGGGACAGTGCCCAGGCCCAGCATTCAAGCCCCATGACTGACACACACACACAAAAAAAGAGCTATACTTCTCATGTCATTGTAAGCCATTCATAGTTGAGGTTATGAGACGATGTACATTCATCATTTATAGCTGCCATGTTTTATTTTGCTAATTATGCTTTGTTGAATATGCATTTTCTAACCTAGTCTATAAATTCCCTATGTAATTTCAAATGTGTCTATATTTTAAATCATCCATGAAAATTAGCGTTAATTTTTTCCACAGTGCATTTGACTATGACACAGAAAACATGAACTCTGAAGACATTTATAGTTCTCTTAGAGGAGTCACTGAGGCAATCCAGAGTTTCAGCTTCCGCAGTCAAGAGGACATGAGTGAGCCACTGAAAAGGGACCCTAGAAAAGACGATGGTGACTCCGTAAGTATTTAAATGTTCTTACATTATAGATTGTTTCAGTTACGTGTGTTTTTTAACTTTGCTTCCTGTCATTTTCATATATAGTTTTCCAGTGATCAGTTATTCCACATGCTAGGCACAATTTTAGATCTTAGATTTGCAAGACTTTGTCACTGCAACTGTTAATTTATGTAGAGATAATCACTGTGGAGTTTTACTTTAGAATGTGCCTTAGAGCATATCTAGGATGCATGAGGTCCTAGATTGAATCTCTAGCACCAAAAAGTATCAAAATCCCATCTGTTGGTGTAGTCAGGGAAGGAACTCCCCTCTCAGGAGGTGATATTTGTAAAAAGACTTGAATCAAACCACATAAAACATAGAGGACAATTTTATGAAAGAATTAGCAAGATCCAAGGCAGATAGGCAGCTTTTATACTTGAAGGAAGCCAGAATAGTTGATGCATAATTAAAGAATTTGGGCCACAACACATGAATTGAGTCTTTTTTTCTAGTACAAGACATAGCATACTAGAGAATGCTAGGCAGTTGCTCTACCTCTGATGTACACAGCCAGCATCACATGACTTACAATTAAAAGAATTTAGATTTTTTTTCACTATAATTATATTAATAGTGATTTGACTCATTAGTTTATGTGTCTTCATTTTAGAATATTATAACCCATTTTTCTGGCATGTTATTTGTTTAATTAGTTACTTCTACCATTATCCAAAAATGATTTCTTTTATTGTTTTTTGGGTTTTTGTTAGGGCCTGGGCCCAGTCCCTGAGCTTTTGTTCCTCAAGGCTAGCACTCTGCCACTTTGAGCCATAGCACCACTTACAGTTTTCTGGTAGTTATTTGAAGATAAGAGTCTCACAGATTTTTCTGCTTAAGCTTGCTTCAAACTGCTAGCCTCGGATCTCAGCCTCCTGAGTTGCTAAGATTACTGGTGTGAGCCACCCCGTGCCCTGCCCAGCCTGTTGTTTGTTTGTGTATGTGTTTGTTTGTGGTTACCACTGCTACTACTTAGACTTTATTAAAGCAACCCCCACACTGGAATTTGTTCTTTCTAAGTGTTTACAGATCTGCAGAATACAAGAGTTTTCAGCACATCTCCAAAGGGCTCCCTCCTCTGCTGTCCTGACTTCTTTGCCCTATGCCTATCTGGCAGAGATGGCTATGTAGTGGCCTAGTTCACAGACTAAAACCATCTTACCTACTACTCATATCTGAGGTTCCCTATCCTAAGAACCCTCATGTTCTTGGTTCATTTTCTACTCCCTCTTTCTTTCATAATGCTCCTTAAGTTGTCTACATGTTTCTCAGTGCAAACTTTACCATCTGAGCAACTCCTGCCTTCCCTGACACAGTCTAATAAAGTAGATTGATCTTCTTCTACAAAAGAACAACACCCTATCACTGCTTAATTTACATCCAGAGACCTCAAGTAGTAGATTCTGACAGAATTGAATTCAAATCCCATGTCTAGGCAGTTATTACCTAGGTTATTTCTAAGCCTGTGTCTTCATGAAGAAAATAGGGATCCTACTGACTGAACTGACTACCTTCAGTGTTGTGAGTGTGATACATCATATGACACCATACAGCCCAGCCCTCTCTCCCAAGGTCTACCTCACACTTGACCCTGTTTTAGATCTTTTCCTGTCTTAGCTCAGCAAACCTAAACAGAAGAATTGTGCTTGATTCTCCTTTATTCCTCTTTCCTTTTCATTCTCCATATCCAACATGTCTAGAAATCTGTTGGCCTTACCTTTGGAACATATCCAGAATCTAACCACTTCTCACCACTGCCTGTCTGATTCAAGCCATCATCACCAAGTCTCACTTAAATTATTAATCAATTATTATTGATTCTGCCTTGGCCTCCTATAGTCTCCTCTTATTCCTCCTTTACATACAAATTTAGAGTAGATCCCTATTTGCTTCTTTGTGGCCTCATCTCCCACTATTGATTTCTCTGTCATTGCCACCATGCCCTTACTTACTATTCCAGGAAATTTCACTGGTTATATCTCTGCCTCGGGCCTTTTATTAGCTGTTCTGTCTGCTTGGAGCAGTCTTACTTTAAGATCACTGTATAGCTAATTAATTTCCCTCCAATCTTCACTTTAACGTTTTCTCAATGAAATCTGATGACTGTTTGTTCCTTCTTCCCCTCCCAGCACTAGAGATCCTTTTGTTCTGTTTTTCCTATAAATAAATCACCTTCTACCATTCCACATACTTTACTCACTCTTCAAGCTTTTTTATTGTTTCAGACCCTCCACTAGATATAAATTTCATGAGGGTAGATATCATTCTCTCTTTTGTTCATTGGTCTATTCCCAGTGTAAGAAAAATACCTGGCGTCTGGGTAGATAGACAGTAAATGTTTAGAGAATATTTTTTAAATGCCTAGCAAATGGCTTAAACTAAAGTTGTTCTGTAGTTGGTGGTGATAGTGATACTTGTGATTCTAAACATTTTGATACTTGTGTATGTGATTTAGTGTTACTACTGGTATTTAAGCTAGTACATTAATGGGCCAACTGTATTGGCATCCCTCCAAAAGGTATCCAGGCCCTTTAGACCTTTCCTAAAAACAGGCCTTTAAAAAAAAAGGTTGAGGGGGGCTGGGAAGGTGGCTCAGTGATAGAGCACTTGCCTTGCATGCTCGAGGCCCTGGGTTCGATTCCTCAGCCCCACATAAGCAAAAAGAAAAAAGCCGGAAGTGGCGCTGTGGCTCAAGTGGTAGAGCGCTAGCCTTGAGCTGAAGAGCTGAGGGACAGCGCCCAGGCCCAGAGTTCAGGCCCCACGACCGGACCAAAAAAAAAAAAAAGGTTGAGGGAGTCCAGGTGCCGGTGGCTCATGCATGTAATCCTAGCTACTCAGGAGGCTGAGATCTGAGGATCGCAATTCAAAGCCAGCCCAGGCAGGAAAGTCCATGAGACTCTTATCTCCAGTAAACTACTAGAAAACCAGAAGTGGCTCTGTGGCTCTTGTGTAGAGCGCTTACCTGGAGCTGAAGAGCTCAGGGACAGAGTTCAAGCCCCACAACTGACTAAAAAGGGAGAAGGGGGGGAGGGCAGGGCTTGCTTTTTTTTTTTTTTTTTTTTTTTTTGCTATTCCTGGGGCTTGAACTCTGGGCCTGGGCCTGGGTGCTGTCTCTAAGCTTCTTCTGCTCAAGATGAGCCCTCTACCACTTGAACCACAGTGCTACTTCCCGCTTTTTTGAGTTTTGGAGATAAGAGTCTCACAGAGTTTCCTGCCCAGGCTGGCTTCAAACCACAATCCTCAAATCTCAGCCTCCTGAGAGGCTAGGATTGCAGGCATGAGCCACAGCACCCAACAAAAAGTGTTTTCTTAAACTTTGTTGATATGCTGTCATTATATAACTTAAGAACTACCTACTAGGGGCTAGGAAGGTGGCTCAGTGGTAGAGCACTTGCCTTGCATGCCTGAGGCCCTGGGTTCGATTCCTCAGCACCAAATAAGAAAAAAGAAAAAAGCCAGAAGTGGCGCTGTGGCTCAAGTGGTAGAGCGCTAGCCTTGAGCTGAAGAGCTGAGGGACAGCGCCCAGGCCCAGAGTTCAGGCCCCACGACCAGACCCAAAAAAAAAAAAAGAACTACCTACTACATTACTAATGAAAGTCCTCTGTCTTTAGTGAGCATGAGAAGCTATTGCTAATTTATTTTATTTAAGGGAACCATTCACAAGAAAACTAACATCTCTGGAGGCCCTGTTCTTCTGTACTTCTTATTTGCCCTCACAGCTATGATTTCTTTACATCTTTGCGATAAGCTTTTTCATTTTTAATATAAAATTCAGCTCATTGTTTGAAATTTTTGTTCAGCTGACTCAACTTTCTTCTTAGCCTTTTAGACAGTTTTTTTAAGTGAGGGAAGCTATTTAAGTGATCTAAGTTTTTATGCCTTTACAGAATGTTTTTTAAGTGATTTAAGATATTTAAATGATCTAACTTTTTATGTCTTCTATTTATCAATAGATGTGTGGTGGTCCTGGTGTGGCGGACCCAAGAGCCGGAGGCGATGCAACTGACTCAAGCCAAACAACTATTGATAATAAAGCATCATTGCTCCACTCCATGCCTGCTCACTCTTCTCCACGATCTCGAGACTACAATCCCTATAACTATTCGGATAGCATCAGCCCCTTCAACAAATCTGCCCTCAAGGAAGCCATGTTTGATGATGATGCTGACCAGTTTCCTGATGGTATGTTCTGGCTCAAGCTGCTACTTGCTGATTTTAGAACTCCTGGATCATATAATTCTGTTCTTAACTTTTTTTTTTTGTCGGTCGTGGGCCTTGAACTCTGGGCCTGAGCACTGTCCCTCAGCTCTTCAGCTCAAGGCTAGTGCTCTACCACTTGAGCTACAGCACCACTTCCGGTTTTCTGGTGGTTTATTGGAGATAAGAGTTTCACAGACTTGGGGCTGGGAAGGTGGCTCAGTGGTAGAGTGCTTGCCTTGCATGCCTGAGGCCCTGGGTTCGACTCCTCAGCACCAAATAAGCAAAAAGAAAAAAACCAGAAGTGGCGCTGTGGCTCAAGTGGTAGAGCGCTATCCTTGAGCTGAAGAGCTGAGGGACAGCACTCAGGTCCAGAGTTCAGGCCCCATGACTGGACCCAAAAAAAAGTGTTTCACAGACTTTCCTGCCCGGCCTGGCTTTGAACCTCGATCCTCAGATCCCAGCCTCCTGAGTAGCTAGGATTACAGGTGTGAGCAACCGGCATCTGGCTTCTGTTTTTAACATTTTGAGTAACTCTTAGACTGTTTTCTATAAAACTGTAGTGTTTTACATTCCCAACAGTTGTGCACAGAGTACCAGTTTCTCCACATTCTTATATTTTCTGTGTGTCTGTTTTGAGTTCTTCTGTTTGTTTTTAAGAGGGGCTGTACTAGCATTTGAACTCACTTCCTCTTGCTTACATTCATACACTGTACTACTAGAGCCACTCCCACCCTTTTGGTTTGTTTTTGTTTAATAGTCGCTGTAATAATGAAGATGAAGGTGAATCTCCTTGTAGTTCTGAATTGTTTCCCTAATGGATCATGTAGAACTTTTTTTAATATTTATAGTCATTTGCTTATTACCTTTGGAGAAATGTCTATTCAGGTCCTCTACCCAGTTTATGAAAAGATTGTTTTTGTTTCTGAATTGTAGGAATTGTCTATTCTAGATAATTCTGTATTAGACATATGATTTGTATAATTCCCCTTATTCTGTGGTATTGTTTATGTGTGTGTGTGTGTGTATGTGTATGTGTGTGTTTGCGCACATGTATGCACGCATATGTCTGTAAACTCAAGGCCTTCTTCTCTTGCTGGGCTTTTTTTGTTCATAGCTGGAGCTCTACCACTTGAACCTAGCCTCCAGTCCAGTTTTTTCCTAGTTAATTGGGGATAGAGTTCCATGGGCTTTTCTGACCTCACTATGATCCTCAGATCTCAACCTCCAGAGTAACTAATATTAAGGCTTGAGCCACTAGCACCTCTTTTTTTGGCTGGTCCTGGGGCTTGAATTTAGAGCCTGGGTACTGTCCCTAAGTTTCTTTGTGATCAAGGCTAGTGCTCTACCATTTGAGCCACAGTGCCACTTCCAGCTTTTTTGAGTAGTTTATTGCAGATAAGATTCTCATAGGGACTTTTGCTCAGGCTGGCTTCGAACCACAATTCACTTTAAGTAAATTGTTTTTATATAATATGAGGTGAAGGGTTCAGCCTTGTAATTGTACATATGGATATCTAGTTTTACTAGCACTATTTTTTTCAAAGGTTGTCCTTTCCTTATTGAGTAGTCTTGGCACCACTCTCAAAAATGCTTTTACTATTTATGCATGAATTCCTTTCTATATTCTCCTATTTCATTTGTCTTTATGCTAGTAATATACTGTTTTGAATACCTTAGCTTTTATAGTAAGTTTTGAAATCAGAAAGTTTGACTACCAACTTTGTTCTGTTTCAACAATGTTTGGCTATTTAGCATTTCGTGTGTGTGTGTGTGTGTGTGTGTGTGTGTGTGTGTGTGTGTGTGTGTGTGTGTGTGTGTGTGTGTGTGTGTGTGTGTGTGTGTGTGTGTGTGTGTGTGTGTGTGTGTGTGTGTGTATTTTGCTCAGAGTTGATACCAGGGCATTGAGATGTTTGGCAAATGCTAGGGATTACTTTACATCTCATCCCTTGGAGGATTTTTTGTTGTTGTGGGTTTGTTTTGTTTTGTATTGTTTTTCTGGGGATTTTATGGGTATGTGTGTGCCAGTCTTGGGGCTTGAACTCAGAACCTGAGCACTGTCCCAGAGATAGTACTCTACCACTTGAGCCGCAGCTCCACTTCCAGCTTTTTTGGCAGTTGAGATAAGAGTCTCATGGACTTTCCTACTTAGGCTGCTTCCTGAGTACCTAGGATTAGGGGCATGAGCCACTTGTGCCCAGCAATCAACCTTTGATTTTTAAAGATACAGCTTTACTATGTAGTCCAGACCTTTTTTTTTTTTTCAGACTTTGTTGACCTACTATCTTCTGGTCTCTCATTTCTTATGAGAAATTTGATTTTTTTTGCTTTGTTTTGTTTTGCCATTCCTGGGGCTTGAACTTGGGGCCTGGCCTCTGTCCTTGAGCCTTTCTGTGTTCAAAACTAGTGTTCTACCACTTGAACCACAGTACCACTTCCAGCTTTTTCTGTTTATTTGGTACTGAGGAATCAAATCCAGAGCTTCAGCATGCTACATAACCACTCTACCACTAAGCCACATTCCCAGCCAAATTTGATAATCTTATTGACTAGCCTTTCTGAGTACTAAATCTCTTTCCTTGCTGCTGGCTTTTTTTGTTTTGTTTTGTTTTTTTACTTTTTGCCAATCCTTGGGTTTGAACTTAGGGCTTGGGTGCTGTCCCTGAACATCTTCTGCTAAAGGCAACTTGATCCATAATACTACTTCCAACCTTTTCTGAGTAGTTTATTGGAGATGAGAGTCTCATGGACTTTCCTGCCCTGGCTGGCTTGGAACTGTGATCCTCAGATCTCAGCCTCCTAAGTAGCTAGGCTTACAGTCGTGAGCCACCAGCACTTGGCTTTCCTTGCTGCTTTTAACCTTTGCTTAGGGAGATAGTTTTTCTATTTGTTTATATTAGAAGGCTAACAAGGATTTACTTAATAAATAGGATAAAATAGAAATAGAAGAAAGGTGAAAGGAAATATCTGTTTCTCCTGCAGGAGATGAGAGTGAAAAATCTGTGTTTCTTCACTCCTGTCCAAGTTCATGTTGAATATCATCTAGCTCTGTGGCCACTTTGCAACCTTCATTATATTACAAAATTTCTAGTCATGGAGACAGTGAACTTAAGGTATATTTATTGCCCAAAACCTGGCCAAGATAGATCTTTGTTGCAGGGAAAAATATCTTTTGTGTAGGTGCTGGGTATATGTGGGTGTGTATGCATGCATGTACACATGTATGTGTGTATATGCTGGTACTAGGGATTGAAATCAGAGCCTTGTGCTCTCACTTGACTTTTTTGCTCAAGGCTATTGCTCTACCACTTGAGCCACAGCTCCACTTCTAGCTTTTTGCTGGTTGGAGATGAAGTCCACAGAATTTTCTACCTAAGCTATCTTTAAGCCAGAATCCTTAAGCTGGGCACTAGTAGATCACACCTGGAATCTAGCTACTCAGGAGGTTGAGAATCATGGTTTAAAGCCAGCTGGAACTGAAAGACCTGTCTTTCATTCTGTGTTCTTTTTTCCTTCTTTTGTGGGTTTGAACTCAAGGCCTCACAACTTGCTAAGCAAATGCTCTACCACTTGAGTCATCCCCCTAACCCTTTCATATTTTCTGATAGAGTTCTTTTCCCAGACTAGCCTGAACCACTATCTTCCTACTGAGGCATCCTGAATAAGCAGGTGTGTACCAACACATTCTATTTTTTCATTGAGGTGCATTCTTACTAGCTTTACTTCTGGCCCGAAATTGTTATCCTCCCAATATCTGCTTTTGGGCAGTTTGAATTACAGGCAAGCACCTGGTTCTACTCTACTTTTTTTCTTTTTTTAATCAAACTGTGTTTCAGAGTAACCAAAATAGCTCTAAAAAAGTACCAGTGGCTAATACCTATATTCCTAAATAATCAGTAGGCTGTGATCAGAGCCAGCCTAAGCAGACAATTCTACAAGAATTTTATCTCCAATTAACTAGCAAAAAGCCTAAACTGGAGGTATGACTAATATAGTAGAGCACCAACCATAAGCAAAAACTAGGCACTTGTAGCTCATGCCTGTGTAATCCTAGCTATTCAAAAAGGTTGAGTTCTGGAGGCCAAAAAACTGCCAGAGTCCATCTCCATAATAACCAATAGGGCTGTAGGCATGGCTTAAGTGGTAGAGCACCAGTCTAGCAAGCATGAATCCCTCCTGTCTATATATAAATCCTCATCCATGGAAGGGATGCTATGTTTAGATAATCAGCATTTTTGTTTCAAAAATATGATTTAACACCAGTCAGTGAGTAAGACCATTTTTTAAAAGTTTGATGGGGGAAGTGAATCTGTGGCTCCAGTGAGAGTGCTAACCTTGAGCAAAAAAGCTCACAGACAGCATCCAGGCCCTGTGTTCAAGCCCAGGAATGGCACAAAAAAGTTTGACGGGGAGCTTGCAGTGTGGGGTCAGGTGGTCACTTCAATCCAGTAATCATTTTTGGCATAAGTAACAGTGCAATACCCCAACATTGAGCCTCCTGGCTTGCCACTTTAGCAGTGCATGCTTGAAGTATGAAGGGAGGGGGAAAAAATTGGAATTTGCCATAAATACATCATAAAAAAGAAGGGGGCACAGTATGAAATAAGAATGATAAGATCTTGATATTTGCTAAATATAGGCGATGGGTATCTAGGAGTTCAATATACTGTTATTTTATATTTTTTTCTTATAGAAAGTTTTTAAATCACACTGATGTTTTGAGGTTGACAAAATTGAAAATAAATGACTGTCAGTCAATAATAATCGTTGGTTGTGCCTGTGTTTCCCAGTAGTATAAAGTTACAAAATTAATGATTATGTCCTTTTGACAGATCTTTCCCTAGATCATTCTGACCTAGTTGCAGAGTTGTTGAAGGAATTGTCTAACCACAATGAACGTGTAGAAGAAAGAAAAATTGCCCTCTATGAACTGATGAAACTAACACAGGAAGAGTCTTTCAGTGTTTGGGATGAGCACTTCAAAACAATACTACTTTTATTGCTGGAAACTCTTGGGGACAAAGAGGTAAATGGCAGAATACTTAAGCCATAGTCTATATCCTGCTTTGCTTTGCTTTCCTGCATTCATTCATTTTTTTGTTCTGCTGGGTCTTGAACTTAGTTTTCCTGAATGCTAGGCATATACTCCCATCATAGCTTCACCTCCAGCTCTTGTTTTTCTTCATAGATTGTCTATTAATCAAATACTACACAATTGTCTATTACCCAAGTAATACACATATTCGAAAATTTGGAAGATGAGTCTATTCTGCTGCTGTCCCTGCATGAAATTTTTCTCTAAGCCAAATAGCTCAGCAATTTTGAACAGTTGACCACAGCAAAAATGAAAAATGGAAGCCCAATTTTTGTGGAAAAGTACAGGTTGCCTGTTCTGTGCATTTAAATTTGTTTTTCAGAAGCACATCTTTGTCTTATAGACAAATATATTTCTCAATTTCTTAGAAATTTAAAAGGTGAGATTAGTTTTCAAGTAGAGATGTTAGAATTGTATAATAAGTTACATACTTTGTACAATGGTCTAGTTTTCCTCCTCTCAACATTAAGATGCTTAAGTTGTTGAAATTGATGTTAGAAATTGCCTGCAGGTTGACAGGGTCCTAAGATGGCTGCCAGGCAGCCATTTCCTGACCAAAGAAAGGATGTGGAGTTGGCTACTGCTGGAAATGATGTTGAGTCAAATTCTGAAAATGAAGCCATACTGAGAATTCTGAATTTAACTTACAAGAACTTAAAGAGGATGGGACCAGAAGAAATCAGATGCCTCAGATTTCCCAAAAGATGAACCAGAAACTTGGTGAGAGGTCTAGGCAAATACATATGAAGAGTACCCTTCTGGAATTCCCATAAACGTGGAACAATTTTCAAGAATTGCGTAAAAACATTCTGAACAGAAAACTTAGCCTCAAGATCCAGAGGGAGATAAAGTGCTCCAGAAAAGATAAGCTGAAGAATGAAAAAGTCTCATAGTGAACAATCCTTGAATGAAGCCCAATGGAAAGAGCATACCCAGTATTTTGGAGCCAGTGGCTCAGTATTTCAGAACTAGTGATAGAATTGAACCTCCTGTGAAAAAAAAAAAACGTTGAGAAGTCAGGTCTTGAGGATAGACCAGGCTGTGGAGGAGTAGGATATTGAAAAACTCAGCAACCAGCCAGCTACTCTAGAGCTTGGTGTAAAAATTGCCAAAGCATTGCCTGCCACAATAGATGCAGGCAATTTATAGAAGCCAAAAAGGAGGCTGAGGGCTGGGAATGTGGCTTAGTGGTAGAGTGCTCACCTAGCATGCATGAAGCCCTGGGTTCGATTACTCAGCACCACATAAACAGAAAAGGCCAGAAATGCCACTGTGGCTCAAGTGGTATTGTGCTATCCTATAGCAAAAAGAAGCAGGGACAGTGCCCAGGGCATGAGTTCAAGCCCTAGGACTGGCCAAAAAAAAAAAAAAGGAAGCTGAAAATTCATAAGCTGCTCAAAAGAAGAAGCTGAAATTGGGAGTTTGAAGCATAGAAGAGATGGAAAACCAAAAGCAACATGGGATATATGTAACCACGCAGAGCTCAGAATACTTAGACTCACAAGCTCAAATTAACAAGACTTTCCTGCTTAAATATGTTGGATTGATAGAAATAAGGGGAATAATGTGCATAAAACTTGGGAATTGTTTACCAACTCTTGGACTTTCCTAAAGAATTTATTCTTGAAGTGAATACTTTCACTATTTGTGTAAGAAATCTGAGCATACACAGAAAGAAAAAAGGATGGGGTTTTTTTGTTATTTATCTGCATAAACCTTCAGTCTAAAATTAATCTGCTTTTCATATGTCTGGTGTGGCATAGCCAATGAGGTTCTTGTACTTTCTTATCTTTTCTAGGCATAACTACACTTTTTCTGGAATTGTGGTTTTAAAATTGTGACTGTCTTTACAAATAATTTTATGTCATAAAAACAATTATTCATTCCTTCTTGAAGGCAGTAAAATTTTTAGGTGGTCCTTACCAGAGAGTATGTATAGTTAGATTAAACAGATAATTTAATTCCAAATAACAACTGAATCATCCAACCATCCAAAATATTATTGCCTGCCATCCAAAATATTAAAAAACATTTCAATGTTTCTCTTTAGCCTACAATCAGAGCTTTGGCATTAAAAGTTTTAAAAGAAATTCTAAGGCATCAGCCAGCAAGATTTAAAAACTATGCAGAACTGACTGTCATGAAAACATTGGAAGCACATAAAGACCCTCATAAAGAGGTGAGTTACCTGTTTTATTCTCATCCTGTTATTTCATGAACGATGTAAACACTGCATAGAAGCTACCTTTTTTACGATGGATACTTACCTGGATATTCAAAGTGATACTTGACTCAGATCCACGCATATATTCTTTTCTAGCACAAGAATTATGATATCATGGCCTTTTTTCTATATAACCTACTTTTTTGTATATTTAGTTAGCTTTTCCTCAGTGTGACCAGAAACTTAAGTAAAACGACTTAAAGGGGAAAATTACTTATATTGACTCCTGATTCCAGAGGGTTCAACCCATGGTCTTTTTGTCCTTGGGGCTTGGACTGGTCACAGAGGCAAGATGCCAAGGCAGAAGAAAGATGGTCATGTCTAGCACACAGGAAGCAGAAAATTGAGAAGGGGCCAGAAACAAGGTACCACAAGGACTCACCCCAGCTAGGCCCCACCTCCCAAAGTTTCCACAACCTCCCAAAATAGTACCACCAGCTATGGCCCAAGCCCATGAGCCTGTGAGGACATGTCATATTCAACCATAACAATCTGATTTTGTTTTCTTCTTCATTTTGCTTTAGTTTTCTGTCTTAACTTTCCACTTAGCAATACAAATTTGATTTTTTAATGTAACAAATGAAGGTAAAATCATGTTTATTTTAAATAGTATATTGCTTATAGGAGATAGGAGTCTGTTGTGAGGACAGATTTTTAAGAATCTTTTTTTAAGAATCACTTTTAAGAATCATGGCATCCTATCTTTCTATCAGTAACACTGATGAGTTACCATGAGGATTTTTATGATAATCTTATAAATAATTAGAGAAGGAAATTTCAAATAGGATGCTGCAATGCTTTTTGCAAGAAAGCAAACATGTTTTAGCATTAGATGTCTGTGGTCAAACCAAGACATTAGCAAAAAACAGGCCAGAAAAGAAAGTTAAAATAGTGATAAAGTGAAATGGTTCAAAGCTAAATACAAGAGTTAAAATGATAAAAATCTCAGAAGCAGCAGTAAGATTTTTGTTACATGGACTATGTAGTAGTAGTTTCTTAATATAAAATGCAGAAGCAACTACTGGGGAAAAAACATAAATTGAACCTTAGCAAAATTAAAAGGTTTTGTACTTCAAAAAATTAAGGAAGCTGGGCACCAGTAGCTCACGCCTATAATCTTAGCTACTCAGGAGGCTGAGGCCTCCTACTCTGAGGATCGAGTTTCAAAGCCAGTCCAGGCTAGAAAGTCTATGAGACTCACTATCTCCAGTTAACTACCAGAAAGCTTGAAAGTAGCACTGTGACTCAAAGTTGTAGAGCACCCTAAGTCATAAGTCAGGTAATGAGTACAGTTCTTTTAGGACAATGTCACCCCTTCCTTCACCTTCCCCCAGTTTCCCCCTCCCATCTCTGCCCACACAAATTGTATAGTTCATTTTCCACATAGTATATTCTGAATACCATGACTGCATTTGTTCACTCTTCCTCCATTTCTGTACCTCCATTTTCCACCACAAAAAGACCAAATGGAGTATGGAGGGAGCAAAAACAACAGCCAAAAAAAAGTGTTTCCATTTTCTGGAATTTGTTTTGATAAATAGTACTTTAAATGTTCAGAGGAGTTGTGCCTTTGGGTTCCTTCCCTAAGAGTACCCCCTAAGTCTGACAGAGCAAAACCAAGATCATAGTAGACATTTTTCAAAAAAAAATGTAAATAACAATAAACATAAAAAGATACCACCATCATTAGTCAGTAGGAATGTGCAACTCAAACCCTTAAGGACAGGCAAGAAGAAATGATAGTGAAGAGATGGGAAAATTGATAAGAGTAATTTATTTTTTAATCTGGATTTTTATAACATAATATCAAATGTTTAATGTTCTTCCCCCCCCCCCTTTTATTTTATTTTATTTTATTTTGGCCAGTCCTGGAGTTTGAACTTAGGGCCTGGGTACTGCCCCTAAGCTGCTTTTGCTCAAAGTTAGCACTCTACCAGTGGAGCTACAGTGCCACTTCAGGCTTTTTTTATGTAGTACTAAGGAATCAAACCCAGGGCTTCATGAATGCTAGGCAAGCACTCTACCACTAAGCCACACTCCTAGCCCTAATGTTTATAGTTCTGACCCAAATAAGACCTTTAGCATTTCTATTTTTACAAAATATAAAATAGGTCTTTTTAAGATGTCACAACTGAAATGAGCTTTGACCTTTCTGACTTAGTGCATTTTTTGCTGTACCTTTTTAAATACTTTTCACTAGTTGATATGTGAGACACTGGCAAAGAATCATCAAAAGCATAGATGTTTATTTTGTTTTTACATTTTTGTTTTAGGGTTTTTTTGAGGGGGAGGCTGAGGGATCAGTCCCTGGGTAGGACCTGGGCACTATCCCTAAGCTTCTGTGCTCAAGGCTAGCATGCTACCACTTGAGCCACAGGTCCACTTCCAGCCTCTTGATGCTTAATTGGAGATAAGAGTCTCATGCTTTCCTGCCCAGGATGGCTTTGAGCTGGGATCCTCAAATCTTAGCCTTTTGAATAGCTAGGATTACACCTGAGCCGCTAGCGCCTGATTTGCTTTTACATGTTTTTAAAACCATCTTCAAAGAATACAGATTCTAATAAGAAGCCATTTCATTTTATTGCAAACTAGTGTTTCCACTCCTCCTGGAGTTGAACTAGTAATGAACCAGGGCCTCTCTGTGACTGATGAAGAGGCTCCATTCATATTATAGTCCAAGTCAATAAGTAGAGCCTCCATACTCCAGCACTAGCCCAGTTTGATTTTAAAAATTACATTAAGGGACCAAGCATAGTGGCTCGTACTTGAAATCCCAGCTACTCAGAAAGCAGAGATTAGGAGGAGCCTAGTTCAAAGCCAACCCAGGCACAAAGGTACGAGTGATCCCACATCACTAAAACAACCAGATGTGGTAACACACATCTGTCATCCAGTCTACATGACAAGTTTATATGTAGGAAAGTAGGGGTCCCAGCCAACCCTGGACCGAAACACAAGAACCTATCTGAAAAATAACCTAGAATCAGTAGGACTGGAGGATGGGTGGGTCAGATGGTAGCGTACTCACTAAGTTCTTAACTTCAAACCCCAGTACTCCACATAGACAACTTTAGGGACTGACAATGTAGCTCTGTGGTAGAGTACTTGCCTGGCATGTGCAATGTCCTGGGTTTGATCAGACACACTGTAAAAATAAAAGTAAAATCTAAATTAGCCAGGCGTGGCAGTACACACCTATAACCCCACCTACTTGAAAGGATCACTTGATCCTACAGGTCCAGGCAAGCTTGGGAAACATAGTGAGACCCTGTCTGAAAAAAAATAAAATAAAAACTAAAACCTACTATAGAGTAAATGGGAAAGGAGAGAGAATGGTTAAAGGTCCATGTGTTTCAACAGTTACTGTCAGCAAATGTGTTTTATCTGTACGCTGACTTATGGTTATCTGTGTACTGCAGTATTTTCCAAGCCAATCCCAAATACCATGTCCTGTTAAATGTATACTTTTAAGACATAGTATAAGAGTTAAGAAATAATTTCCTGACTTAATTTATTTTAGGTGGTGAGGTCTGCTGAGGAAGCGGCATCAGTGCTGGCCACCTCTATTAGTCCAGAGCAGTGCATCAAAGTGCTGTGCCCTATCATTCAGACTGCAGACTACCCCATTAATCTGGCTGCGATCAAAATGCAAACAAAGGTGATCGAGAGAGTATCCAAGGAAACCCTTAACCTACTCCTACCAGAGATTATGCCAGGCCTAATACAGGTAAGCAGTAAAGCTTGAGGGAATGAGCTGTGCACATCCAGGCTTCAGTTATGTCAGGCTTTTTCAATATACAATCTTGTGGCATTCAATATTTATTCACAAAACTTTTTTTTTTTTTTTTTTTGCCAGTCCTGGGTCTTGAACTTGGGGCTTGGGCACTGTCCTTGAGCTTCTTTCACTCATGACTGGCACTCTACCACTTAAGCCACAGCACCATTTCCAGTGTTTTCTGTTTATGTGGTGCTGAGGAATCAAACCCAGGGCTTCATTCATGCTAGACAAGCACTCTACTACTAAGCCACATTCCCAGCCTTCACAGAATGTTTTTATCATCTTAAACTAAATCTCTCTACCCATTAGTGAACAATACCCCATTCTTTCCCTCAAGACCTCACTGATATTTATTCTACTTTCTGCTTCTAATAGGTACCTGTTCTAGATTTCTCATATATGTGAAATCACAAATATTATTCTTTTGTGCTCAGCTAATTTGATTTAGTGTTTTCAGGGGTCATCTGTGTTACAACATGTTTCAGAATTTCATTTCTTTTTATTCTATTGTTGTTTCCTATTTTTATTAGTATAACTACTATGATGATAATTATAATTAATATTACCTTGTTAAATCTAGAAACAAATCTGTGGGCAGATTCCTCTCCAAAGTAGTTTTACTAACATACATTATAGTGTCCCTGTGCTTTTTCACTAGTGCTTTACCACTATGAGCCACATCACCACTTCCAGTTTTCTGATGGTTGATTGGAGATAAGAATCTCATGGACGTTCCTCCCTGGGCTCACTTTGTACCTCAATCCTCAGGGCTCAGCCTCCTGTGTAGATAGGATACAGGTGAAAGCCACCAGCACCTGGCTTGGGATTGTATTTTATTTTATAACATGCTTTAACTTAACTATATGTTGTGAACTTTGTCCCTCCTGATAAATAACAGTCTACAATGTAATTTTAATGGATGGTTAATAATATACAGTGCCTATTATGACCTTTCCTATAGTATTATATTATTCTGTCCTAAGTTTTATTGCTCACTAAATTATAAGATCCTAGATGTCCAAACCTTTTTCTTACTTACGTTTTGATACTAACTACAGATGTATACAATGGGCATATGTGGTATACATTATAAATACTGATTAAATGTTTGTTGAATAATTTACAGTTTGAAAATACTAAGAGTCCTTGTGGCTTTAAGTTTGTGTAAAATTCTTAACTCCCTTTAATTAACTTGGTGTAAAACCATGTAGTTTATGTAACTATTAGAAACCTTTTTAAAAAGCATAAGAACTCTAGTTATCTTAAGGTTTACTTTTAGCTTTGCCAAAAATCATTGAAATTATATGTATTAGGACATAGGATAGACAAGTGGCAATACCTATCAATGTAGTTTTTGCATTGCTCAAGACTAACGCTCTACCACTTGAGCCACAGTGCCCCTTCCGGCTTTTTCTGTGTGGTACGGAGAAATTGAACCCAGGGCTTCATGCATGCTAGGCAAGCACTCTACCACAAAAGCCATATTCCCAGCTCATCTCTAAGCTTTTTAACCAAAATTCCTTTCACTGAGCACTTTGGATTACATACAGAAAAAAGAAAAGATTAGAGGAAGGTGTCAAGTTCTCTTTGGATTTCAGTGGTTTGAGAAAACACGAAAGGAAGCTGAAAGTTAACTTTTTTTTTTTTAATTTTATTTTATTTTATTTGTGAACATACTGTACAGAGGGGTTACAATTACATGGGCAGGATAATGCGTACATTTCTTACCAAGCATTGCAGCCTCCTCCTTTGTTTACCCTTCACATCCCTTCCCAGCCTCCCCCCTGAAAGTTAACTTTTTAAGAACTTGGGGCAAGAATTTGTGGCTTAGTGGTAGAGTGCTTGCCTAGCATGCATGAAGCCCCTGGGTTTGATTCCTCAGTACTACATCCACCAAAAAAGCTGGAAATGATGCAGTAGCTCAAGTGCTAAAGTGGTAGCCTTGAGCAAAAGAAGCTAAAGTACAGTGCCCAGGCCCTGATTTCAAACCACAGGACTGGCAAAAAACAAAACCAACTTGGAGCCAGCTAAATGTAGTACACACCTGTAACCCTAGTGATTCAGGAGGCAGCAATTGGGATGATTGGCTTACGGCTAGCCTAGGCAAAAAGTTCTAGCAACCATGGCCTCCCCTCCCCCCCCCCCCCCCCCACACACACACACAACACGTTAACCAAAAGAAATTTGGTGCAATGATGTATATTATCCCAGGAAATGTAAATAGGAGAACCACAGGCCAGCCCAGGCAAAAAGCAAGACCTTGTTCAAAAATAAATGCAAAAAGCACTAGAAGTATGTCTCAAATGGTAGAGCACCTACCTTGCAAGTGCAAGCACTGCTCCCCTCCTCCCCCACCCACCAGAAAAATACAACCTGGACTAAAAGACTGCATATTAGGGAAGTTGGAGGTGGAGGCAGAGGCACTTGGAGTAGAACAGGTCTACAAGGTGGCCTGAATCCATAGATCTCTTGAAATTGCAAATGTTTCCTCGTGGAACAGGTTGCTCATGTAGGAGAACTGCCTTGGAACACTGAGCCTCACAGTAGTGCTGTAACAACTAGCTACACACAAAGGCCACATTAACAAAAGAAGAATCCTATAACAGTAAATAAAGCTAGAAGAATTTATGGGGCTGGGAATGTGGCTTAGTGGTAGAGTGCTTGTCTAACATGCATGAAGGCCTAGGTTCCATTCTAACAGAAAAGGCTTGAAGTTGTGCTGTGACTTAAGTGGTAGAGTTGTCTTGAGTACAGAGAGGCTCAGGGACAGAGCCCAGGCCATGAAATCAAGCCACAGGGCCAGCCTCCATTTGAACAAATGACTGTGCAGTGGTACACACTAATTCCAAGCTGTTTTAGAAACTCAATGGCTAGTTAACACTGGTGCCTACCTGTAATCTCAGCTAACAGAAGCACAGATAGAATCACAGTCCAGGCTAACCCCAGGCTAGCAATGCAAAAAGGGCCTTGGAGGTATGGCTCAAGTGGCAGAGTGTCTAACAAGCACAAGGTCCTGAGTTCAAACCCTAGTACCACCAAAAGACAGGGGGGGGGGAGAAAATAGAAAAATATGACCACAACATAAATGAAAATTTAAACCCAAGTTTAAGACACAAAGGAAAAAGGAAAAAAATGTAAGTAACAGTAAACACTAATGAAAATCATGAATCAGAACTTTTAAAGTTTATTAAAAGAGATATTAGGGTTGGTATTGTGGTACATGCATGTAATCCTAGCTAGTCTGGAAGCATAGGTCTGTAGAATCTTAGTTTGAGACAGCCTGGGAAAAAGTTAGCAAGACTTCATTTCAATTAACAAGTTAGGCATTATGATGGTACACACCTATAATCCCACCTAGGAGAGACATAGATGAAGAAAACTGTTCTAAGGCTTACCCTAGACAAAAAAAAAAAAAAAAGGATGAGGCCCTATCTAAAGTAGTAACTAAAGCAAGTTATGGCTTATGCTTATAATCCTTCTACAAGAGAGGTTGAGATCCAGAGGATAGTTCAAGAGCAGCCTAGGCATATACAAAAGACTCCTTCTCAATAGCTGAGTACTACCACTGGAAACCTAAAATCAGTAGATTGCATTCCTGCACATACCTGGGCAGGAAGCACAGGATAGTTATCTATAAAGCCAATGCAAACAAGGACTGGAGACATGACTCAGTGGTACAGCACCTGCCTAACAAGTACAAGGCTCCTATATCTAAACCCCAGCACCACAAAAAAAAAAATAGAAATATAAAAAAGGATATGGTTTAAAGGGGATGGCCTAGCAAATTCAAGGAAAGTCTCTAGTGGGAAACATCCTAAAAATGAAATGTAGATACAAAGATAATTTGAATTCAGTATATTTGTAGTATGAAAATATTGATTTAGGAATAGGAATACCAATATGATAAAACAAATAATGTCTCTTAGAAGAAGAACACAAAGGCACAATATCTGTGTGCATCTGATCACATAAAATAATATTTGTGCCAGGTTCCAATAGCTCACACTTGTAATCCTAGCTACTCAGGAGGCTGAGATCTGAGGATCACAGTTCAAAGCCAGCCCAGGCAGGAAAGTCCGTGAGACTCTCATCTCCAATTAACTACCAGAAAACCAGAAGTGGTACTGTGGCTCAAGTGGTAGAGTGCTAGCCTTGAGCTAAAAAGCTGAAGGACAGCGCCCAGGCCCAGAGTTCAAGCCCCACTCAAGAGGCTGAGATTTGAGGATCATGGTTCAAAGCCCAGGCAGGACAGTCCCTGAGACTCCAATTAACCACCAGAAAACTGGAAATGGAGCTGTGTCTCAAAGTGGTAAAGCACTAGCCTTGAGCGAAAGAGCTTAGGAATAGGGCTCAGGCCAGGAAATGGAAACAAAGAAATTTTTTAAAATATGTCACAAAATAAAATTAGTCAATCTTAAAATCTTAACATTGAATTAGATATGTCAGAATGAAACTGTTATTCAGTTTCTTAAAAAAAAAATTATGTCAGGTATAATGACTATAATCCTAGCTACGTGAAAGGTGGCTTGGACAAAGATGAGCATCCATCTAAAAATAAAATACAAACAAAAGGGCAGAGGGTTTGGCTCAAGGAGCAAACAGTCTGTCTAGCAAACTAAGTTCAATAACCCCAGTATCATATATAAGCTAATAGCACATAGAAAAAAATGTTAGGTGAAAAGATGAGAGGTTACCCAAACATCATCAGAAGTAGAATAACTCAATATGCATCTTCCCATGGGATGCACCACTCCACTGGACATCCCCCCCCCCCTTTTTTTTTCTGTTGTTGAGCTTGAAATCAGGGCCTCTTTGTGCTAAAGGCTAGCACTCTGCCTCTTCCAGTTTTTGAGTCTTTATTGGAGATAAGATTCTCACAGAGACTTTTCTGCCCAGGCCAGAAAACTGCAGCCTCCTGAGTAGCTAGAATTACAAACAGTGCCTGGCTACATTTTTCTTTCTGAAAGCCCTAGAACCTGAATCTCATCAAGCCTCTAGACTTAATTGTCAACATTCAGAGCATGGAAATAGAATTACTAACTTGTGCATTATGCTATTTAGTCAAATCTAGAATATATGAACTGCTGTAAGAAAAATTACCAACTTAGGGGCTGGGAAGTAGCTCAGTGGTAGAACGCTTGCCTTGCATGCCTGAGGCCCTGGGTTCCATTCCTCAGCACCACATAAGCAAAAAGAAAAAAGCCGGAAGTAGCACTGTGGCTCAGGTGGTAGAGCGCTAGCCTTGAGGTGAAGAGCTGAGGGACAGCACTCAGGCCCAGAGTTCAGGCCCCACGACTGGACCCCAAAAAAAAAAAATTACCAACTTTATTTTGTAGAGAAATTAGATGAATGAAAGAGAGTAGTGATATAAATTACTTAAAGATTTAGAGTGCTAAGCACACAGTCCACTTGAAAAGGATATACTAAAATAGAGGACTGACTTCGGATTTCAAAACCTACAGGATTCAGACATGAAGACAGCAGACACCGTCTGCACTGAGCCCTCTGATGTTCTCATCCTTATCCTACTCCTTCTGCTTCTGCCATAGGAGTCAGAACTCTTCAGCAAAGAGTTAGTGTGCATCTCATCATCCTGTTCGTAGCATGGCTTGCCTGGCTGGCTCTTATCACATAGCAAGCACTTAAATATTGGAACATTGAGTGCAATATTCTTGGCAATGTTATTTGTAATAGGAAAAAAAATTAGCAAAGAGGGAAATTGTCAGGGAGGAGACTTAATCCTACAACATTCATACTAGAGGTCTAGTTCAGTGATAGATTGCTTACTTATCATGCACAAGGCTCTAGGTTCGATCCCCAGCACCAGAAACAAAACAAAAATATTAAATTTACCAGCCAAATGTCAGTGGCTCATGCCTGTAATACTACTACTCAGGAGACTGAGATCCAAAGCCCAGGTAAGAAAGTCCATGAGTCTCTTTTGTCCAATTAATCACAGAAAAAGCCAAGAAATGGTTCTGTGGCTCAAGTGGTAGAATGCTAGCCTTGAGCAAAAGTTGCTCAGAGACAGTACCCAGGCCCAGAGTTCAAGCCCAGGCTCGGCAAAAAAAAAAAAAGTTTAAGTTTACAACACTGTAGAATGGTTAAATTAGGATGCATACTAAATAGATATATCATTACATAGACTGTAGAAAAATTATAAGAATTATAATTTAATCTACAATTATAATTTAATTAGATAACTTTATAAAATTATAATTTCTTATAAAATACAAATATAAAGTATGTGTAGTTTATGCCTTTTATCATGAAGAATACATTTTTGCAATCATTTTAGAAAATGGTCACAATTTTGGTAGAGATAAACTTTATTTTTCCCTGGGTAAAATGTTTGTATACTCAAAAATACATACTGAGTAAGATTTTTGTGGAATGTTGGGAGAGAGTAGTATGATCAAAGCATGAGGGATACAGACTCAGCTGTTGTGGGACAGATGAAAGACCATTAGGCCTGGGTTATAAGAATGCCTTGAGTTGCCAAACCTAAGAACCAGGTTTTACTAGATAGTGGAGAGCTGTTGACCTAAAGCTATGTGCTCTAAGAAGGTGCTCTGGAAAGTTGGAGATGGATTAGCAAACCAGGCAGCTTCTGAGGTGGGCTGTGCAGCTTATCCGGGAGAGCCTAACAGGGCAGATGATAGTGGAGTGTGGTGGATGTTGGAGGACAGAGAATTTACCTTAGATCAACAGGGTTTCTCTCCTCCATGCATCAGAGTTCACCCTGTGGAAAGTAACTTTCTTAAATCCCTCAGGAGTACTAACAGTGGAACTTTTCTCCCTAGGGTTATGATAATTCGGAGAGCAGTGTTCGGAAAGCTTGTGTCTTCTGCCTAGTAGCTGTTCATGCAGTAATTGGTGATGAGCTAAAACCACATCTCAGTCAACTCACTGGCAGTAAAGTAAGTTACACTGTATGGTTTTAACAGTAACAACTATAGCACTTAAAGTCTTTGTCCTGAATATATGTTAAAGAATAAGATTTCAGTAAGTCAGGCTTTGAACACCCACTGCCCTTATTCATCCAATTCTTCCTTTTGGTTCTTCCCTCTGGCATTTGTCACTCAGGTAAAGTGATGGGCACATTACTGAAGGGAAAATGCCTACAGTTCATGTGTTGTTTGTTGTTGTTATTATTTTGCCAGTCATGGGGCTTGAACTTGGCCTGGGCACTGTCCCTGAGCTTCTTTGAAGAAGCTCAAGGCTGGCACTCTACCACTTGAGCCACAGCACCACTTCCGGCTCTTTCTGTTTGTGTGTGGTACTGAAGAATTGGACCCAGAACTTTATGCATGCTAGGCAAACACTCTACCTCTAAGCCACATTCCCAATCTCAGTTCATGGTTATTTCTAACAGTTGACTGACTTCTTTCCATTCCAACACTCAATCCATCATCCCCAATGCCTGTTGAAGAACAAATAGAGCCAGACACAGTAGCTCATGCATGTAATCCCAGCCAATCAAGAGGCAGAGATTGGGGAGACCATGGTTCAAGACCAGCCCTAGCAAAAAGTCAGACCCCCCTACACCAACTAATAAGTTATGGTACTGACACATGCCTGTCATCCCAGCTTTGTGGAAGGTATAAACAGGATAATTGTAGGCCAACCCCAGCAAAAATAAGACTAGACCTGAGGATATGTATCAAGTAGTAGAATACCTGCATATATCTCTGTTTCTCCTTAACTCTGATAATCATGGCTAGAAAGTCTGTGAGACTCTTATCTCCAGGTAACCACCAGAAAGTCAGAAATGGAGCTGTGGCTTAATGGTAGAGCACAACCTTGAGTGAAAAGAACAGTACTCAGGTCATGAGTTCAAGCACACAACCAACCAAAAATAAATAAAAATTTTGATAAAAGAATTCACATATATGTAGCTGTTTTAGTGACCATCTCATCATACTGTAGAGCAGCTTGTTCGCATAACATGTGCTTGACTTAAATCCACAGATGAAGCTACTGAACCTTTATATCAAACGTGCACAGACGGGTTCAGGAGGGACTGATCCCACTAATGACGTTTCTGGACAAAGTTAGCAGCAATCATCAGTGAAGCAGGTCTCTCAAGGACAGACAGACCACCCTCATCAGTGAAAGGAAATTCTCAAAATACATCTTTTGGAACTTAACCATTGTTTCCCGGTTTTTGTTTTTTTGTTTCATTTCATTTTGTATTTTCTGTAACAGAGAGCTATCCTCAGTCTGCATGTAACTTTTATGATAGTTATTCCAAATTCAAAAAGAAGCAGTATTAACAATTGATCAATACAAAGTAATTTTTTAGTCTAACTCACCATTTCACATGTTTGTACTTCTTTGTCTTCCCATTAACCTTTGCCAGTGTTATGATTGTATAAATTTTTTTAAATACTGGTTAAACCGGAATGCTTAAAGCTTTAAAAGTTTTAACAGTCTAAAACATTTTTTGTCTTTATTCAACTGCAGAATAATATTTTTATTGCTACTTTGAGTTTTGTTCCATATCATGTCCTAGCTAGAAATATTATTAATGACGTGAAACAAAGCAGGACTGATTTGAACTTCAGCTGGACTCTGTTGGTATGATGGTGAGCCATGTCATTAGTTGCAACTTCTTCGGGGTCATTTGTAGTTTGAAAATGAAGACCTGGAAGAGAAACATTACAGAATCAGCCAGTTCTGTAAAACTGCTGTTGTTTGTTGGTTATTGATCTTGCCATCATTATTTAAAACCATGTCCTTCTATGATCCCTTCAGAAAGCTGCACCAAATCATCTGCCTGTTTTTTTCTTGATACTTGTTGAAATGGAAAGTTTCATTGCAGGGTTTTTGTGTTGTTTTTTTGTTTGTTTATTTTGTTGTGAATGATGCTTTTTTTGTATTTATTAATATCAGATTCACTTATGAATAAACTTGATAATGGAAACAGACAAAAGAATCAAGTGCATGTGTGTCCTTGAGTGTCTTCTGTTTCTCACTTAGTAAAACCAACTAATTATTGATATGGAGTCAACCAGCACTATTTCCTGAAAATGATGGAAGCTGGATTTTTCTAACCATGAAAACATTGATCCTGATGAGAGAGAAGATGGTGCCAAGGCTGTCTTGTAATAATGGGCTCAAATTCTCTACCTCTTCAGGGCTAATGCTTTTAACTGAGCTGCTGCCTGTAATATGTCTTTCAGAAAACTATTTAAAGGGTGATTTCTGTTAGTTTTTAACAAAAATTTTAATCACCTTTTGCTAAACCTGTTCTTTTCATATGCAGCCGTCTCAAAAATGACCAGTTTCAGTGAAAGCCAACTGAAATCATTTGGAACCAGGATTCAATGATTTCTCATTTTGACTTTTTTTTTATTTAATTTTAACATGAAGTGAATTTGACTGGCAAGGCAAAGGTCTGTGAGAGGAGCAATTTGCTATTGTTACAGAGTTACCTGTACTATCTTTGTTTAATTGAAAAAAAAATGTAGAAATGTATGTAAAGAATCTAAGACAAGAGAACTGAATGGGTGATTTGTTATAGGCTTTTCCCTTCCTTTGTGTTCTAGCAGCAAGAAAAGACATTTCCCAATATTCTCTCCCCTCACCTGTAACAGCTTTGTTTTTACTGTTACTGTTAATTACGTTGTGTATTTATAGTTCAATGCTTACTGTTGTGCATATACTGGCAATAAAACTGTACATAACATTACTTGGAAAAGTTAATAATATATATTAGCTGTTTTTCTGTCTCGTGTAATGACTCACTTATGTAGGTTATGGGGTGGTTTTTGTTGGGTTTTGTTTTAACTTTAATAGGTACTTTATTAATGAAATTCTCATGAATTTTGTGTGCATCTGAGACAAAAAGGTCAGGAGTAGTCGCTCATTACAATGTATATAGGTACTTAAGTATGTATATGCTACAACTTACCTTAAAGAAGTCATTCCAAACATTGAAGTTGTCTGAGTAGTGTTTTTTGTAACATGACCTTTAGTATGTTTTGTAGTCATTCTGAATTTGAATATTGACTTAATGTTGACCCCTGCTTTAAGGCATTGCATTAACTACTGTTGACAACCAAGTATGGTGATATAAGCTGAGTTACACTAACTGAAAAGTTAGCTGGAGCACCTGACATCTAACAACAGCAGCCCAAGAAATGAATGAATCATGTAACAGAAAAAATGTGGCTTACTGTGCCTAAATGGAATGAAGGTTAATGGACATTAAGGTGAAAGTTCTGTAATGTTGGGGGTTGTGACTCAGTGGTAAAGCTCTTGCTTAACATGGTTCAATCCCCAGTGAAGATAGATAGATAGATAGATAATAGACAAACCAATAAATTCTATCATTTCTGTTGACAAGGGTAGAAGAAAAAATACTGATTATTCAAAAACTACTAAAAATACCTTTCATTTGTTCATTCTAGAAACAGACTTAGATGTCATTATGAATTAAAATATGGTCAAAAAAAGCTACTGTTTATAATTTTTTTCTTCCACTTTTCTCCCAAAAACTAATAGGTCATTCATTTATTGCACTGATGAGAACTAATTAAAAGAATACTAAGCTAGCTGCCAGTGGCTCATACCTAACTACTCAGGAAACTGAGATCTGGAGGATCATAGTTCAAAGCCAGCCCAAGTCAAAAGTCTGCAAGACTATCTCTTCAAAATAACTAGTAAAAAGCCAGACTGGAGGTGTGGGTCAAGTGGTAGAGTGTCATCTCAGCAAACATAAAGCTCTTAAGTTCAAAACTCAGTATTCCGGAAAAAAAAATATTAAGAGCCATTTATCAACCAGGTGTATTGGGGTGCATCTGTGGTCCTAGCTACTTTGGATTCTGAAACAGGAGAATAGTTTGAGCCCAAGAGTTGGAGACTAGCCTGAGCAACAAGACACTTCCTCAACAATACATAAATGTATATATGCACACATATATTCTAGATTATAAAACATGCTTCAAATTCAAAATCTATTACAGACTTCTGACACTTTTTCAAGTAAGAAAAAGTCTGAAGCTGAGGTTTGGAGTTACTTCAGCTTTTTTTTTTCCAGTTGTGGGGCTTGAACCGTGGCCTGGGCACTGTCCTTGAGCTCTTTTACTCAAGGATAGTACTCTATTACTTGAGCTACAGCACCACTTCTGGTTTTCTGGTGGTTAATTGGAAATAAGAGTCTCATAGACTTTTCTTCCCAGCTGGCTTTAAACTACAGTCCTTAGATCCTAAGTAGCAAGGATTATAGGCATGAGCCACCAGTGCCCAGCTTCAGATTTCATTCTTACAAACTAAATCAAAATGATTTTTCACCATCATGTCTTTGTTTAAAAGGCTAGGATATTTTCAGCCATATTTGTTTGTATAGTCAAGTATATATTACAAAATTGATTAAGAATCACCTTTACAGTAAATAGAAATGAGAAAATTCCATAATACATGCAGTGTTTTTCATATTACCTTTTATATCTTTGTTATCTCCCCCTTCCCCACCTCCAGTAGTACTGGGGATTTGAATTCAGAGCCATGCAGTTAGGCAGTCTATATAATTTAAGCAATTCCAACGAGTACAGTTTTCCATCTGTGAATTCAACTAGAATTTCAGCCAAAAAAATTTTTGTTACTTTCCTTTTTGTAGACTACAGTGAAAATAAGGAAAAGCTGAAAAAGAAAAATGTTACTTCTAAAATGGCTACTTAGATTCTTATCTGTGTTGCTGGGTGCCTGTGGCTCTTGCCTGCAATCCTAGCTACTCAGGCTGAGATCTGAGGATCACAGTTCAAAGCCAGCCCAGCAGGAAAGTCCATGAGACTCATCTCCAATAAACCACCAGAAAACCAGAAGTGACTCTGTGGCTCAAGTAGTAGAGCACTAGCCTTGAACTGAAGAGCTGAGGGACAGCACCCAGGCCCAGAGTTCAAGATCCATGACCGACTTAAAAAAAAAAAAAAGAAAAAAAGATTATCTGTGTTGCTGGGTTTGGGCTACTGAATTAGATAATATTGAAATCTGTAAGGAAACAAATTTTGTTAACCACAAGAGTGACAGAATTAAAACCGCCTATCATTTTGACTGGTGTGTATGTGTGTACTGGGATTGAACTTGGCCTTGCACTTAAAGCTGGTGCTCTACCCTTTGGGAGACACCTCCACTTCCAGCAAAAAGCTGAAAGAAACCCTTGGAAATGGTTCCAAGGAAGAAGAAGTGGGAATGAAGGAGGTAATTAAAGGAATGGGTTTGACAGGAGTATGTTACATGCATATATGGAAACATCACAATGAAACCCCTTTGTACAAATAACAGGCTAATAACAATGGGGAAGGAGTCAGGCTAGCTACTCAGGAGGCTGAGATCTGAGAATTGCAGTTCAAAGCCAGCCCTGGCAAGAAACTCCATGAGACTTTTTTTTTTGTTGGCATGGGGCTTGAACTCTGGGCTTGGGCGCTGTCCCTCAGCTCTTCAGCTCAAGGCGAGCGCTCTATCGCTTTAGCCACAGCGCCACTTCCTCCATGAGACTTATCTCCAATAAACTACTAGAAAACTTGAATTAGCGCTGTGGTTCAAGTGGTAGAATGCTGGCCTTGAGCTGAAGAGCGCAGGGACAGCGCCCAAGCCTAGAGTTCAAGCCCCATGACCAACCAAAACAAAAACAAATGGGGAAGGAAACGGGTGAAAAATAGGAAAGGGTGGGAGGAAAAAAGGAAGGAAACTTCCCAAAGTGAGGAAAATATCCAAAATCTGCATATTGGTGGCCTATATATAATGCTCTTTGAAAAAAACAATCTGAAATAGTCAATTCTTAGACATCCAGTTACCACTGGTATACTTAAAAGGATTTCATGGGTAGTAACCAGCATGGTGATATTACCCTGATAATCCCAGCACTTTGAAATGGAGGCAGGATGATCTTGAATTCAAGATATGACCCTATTGGGGGGTGGGGGGAGAGACTGGGAATATAACTCCATAGTAAAGTACTTTCCTAGTATATGCAAGAACCTGTCTTCAATTCCAAACATTTCCAATTAAATAAATGGAGCAAAATTCTATGAGCATTATAAATGTGACATATAAATGAAAAACAGACATAGACATTAAGAACAATATACAGAGCCAGGCTGAGGTGGCCTTCATCTATAATCCTAGCTACTCAGGAGGCTGAGATCTAAAGATCTAGGTTCAAAGCCAGCCCAGCAAAGTCTGTGAGACTCTTATCTCCAATCAACCACCAAAAAGGTGGAAGTGGAGCTGAGATACAGTTCCAGCCTTGGGCAAAAAGCTCAGTGACAGTGAGTGTCTAGGCCCTGAATTCAAGCCCCAGAACCAGTACACACACGTGTCCGTGTGTGCACACACACCAATATACAAAATTAGACAACAGAGCAAATTTGCAAGAAACTAAAGACATAAAGTAGGAGTTAAGCTATACCTCAGCTAAGAACACTGGAGCTAGGGGCCAGTGGCTCACACCTTTAATCCTAGCTACTTAGGAAGCTGAGATCTTAGTTTGGTTATGGATTTATTTATTGTGGGAATGGACTCCTGATAAAAGGAGTCTATTTCCCTTGCTCTTCTGACTTCTTCCATGGGATGACACTTAAGATGGACTCTATCAGATGATGTCTCAAAACCTCAAAACCCTGGACATCTCAGACTTCAAATCTGTAAGAAATCAATCTCTTTTTCAATCCTGTGTTACTATAAATCATATTTCAACATCTAGCATAAATTCCCTAGTCTCCTGACTTCTGTTACAGCAATGCCAAGTGGACAGAGAGCATGCTTAGTGAGTAACCAGCAGTGAGCAGTAGATAGGAATCAATGGTATAATTTAAATTTGATGGGTTAGGCCTGGCCCCTGCTCACATGTGTTGTGAGCATTTGCCATTACTACAGAGTCTGGAGCCACTTTCAGATGCTCCTTGTTTCTGAGCTGCGTGAGGACAGAGACAGACCTAATGACATTGGCCCATACCTCTGCAGTGGTGTCCAACTTTATGCATGGTCTGCCCTTTCTGCTGGGCAGGACTTTTTTGAGGTACAAAAATAGCCTGGTACAGAAGCCAGACGCTGGGCTACAGTTGTTGCACATGTAACTTGGGGATATGTGGGACTAGCTCCGGATCCACCAGCTGTCCCAGGATGAGCTTAGAAAGTTGGCTCATGAGGCTTCAATTTATGGCCAACCCTAGCAGTCCCCACTTGCAGCTTTTATTTTTATGCGTGTGACTTTTGACCAAAAAAAAAAAGAGTGCTGAAATTTGATTTCTCTTTGCAAGTTGTTCCTCTACCAAACTAAAGAACTTTACAGAATCTGCCAAGTTAATATGTACTGCCATCTTGAAGATGACAGCATGCCTGTTGTAGAGCCAGGTGTGGAAAAAATCTGGAATCTCCCAAGTTAATCAAATGCCAGCACCTAACCAAGCACGAGCATTCTAATATTCTGAATGGAGCAACAGACATGACACCTGTTGACCGTGACAGACATGCAGGTATTTTGGGAAAGTCAAGGAATAGAATGAAATCCACAGAGATCAGTTTCATTCTGTGCACTGAACTCCAGAAACAACCTCAAGGCCCTGAGTTCAAGCCCCAGTACTGCAAGAAGATTAAAAAAAAAAAAAAAAAGATTCTGGGGGCTGGGAAGGTGGCTCAGTGGCAGAGTGCTTGCCTTACATGCAAGCGGCCCTGGGTTCGATTCCTCAG